CACCAAACCAGCCCCCAGGAACCGTCTGCACCGGTGGCACAGGCCAAAACAACTACAAAGGCCTCTGCAACTTCTGCTGCCACTATGGCTACTGCCCGCCGGGGCCGTGCACCTGCAACGCATACGGCGCCCCAGTGCCAACACCACCATCAAGAGGCCAGAGAGGCGTGCCCGCAGACGGGCTCGACGACTCCTACAAAGGACTGTGCAGCTTCGCTTGCGATCGCGGATACTGTCCACAAGGAGCGTGCAAACTCGCCTGATAAAAAAAGATTCGAGGGTGGATTCTGCTGGGAATCGGTGATGAATGAATTGATTTCGTTCACTATATTCTGGATGCACTGACGTATACGGGAGATTGTCAGCTGGTAGGAACATTCATTTCTTTTTGTTTTGTTTTCTCTCTCTTTCTTTTTTTCTTTTTATGTTTTCCGGGAGCGTTGGAGACGCTCGGAATTTGGTGATGGTTGATTTTTCCTGGGTGCTGCTCGCTGGTCGTGTGCTGCGGAAAACGGAATCCAGGGGGTGTGCTTTTATAAGTTTGGACCTCCTGTTCACAGGTATTTTTTTTGTATGTAGTTTGACCTTCATTTATAAAATACGGGTTCTTTTGCTGTGGCTGTTCTGTGCGTTTCGTACGGCTGCTATGAGTCTGCTATGAGTGATGTTCATGTTTACAGGAGATGGACGCAGAAATTGATGATCTGTCATTGATATTCTCTTCGGACAGGCATAACGAACGTAAGTAAGTCTCGGAGCGAGCTATTATGGTCAAATCCATTTACCAAAGGTGTATAAGCAGAGTCGTCATCTATGGGGTATCTGTCGGTACACGCAAACCAAAATGCACGTCGATCAAATAGTTATATCAACTGATACGGAAGTATCTTTAAGGGTGCTCGGCCTGAGAGCGGCACTCGAGCAACTGCAAGACAGGCCTCCCAAATCTCTTATCCAAACAGAATTTATGGCTAAGCAGTGGCTTTGTCATCCACCTTTTCCCATTCACTATCTGTGCTCACATAGCCGGAGCTCTCTCCGCTCATGCTAGGCCGTTTCCGAATCCCTCCTTGCTGCTCCGGCGGTTGAAGAGTAGCCGCCGTAGTGGCAGCAGTGGTGGTGGTGGTGGACGGCGGGGCGGCAGCGGACACCGCAGAGATTTTACGCTCCATCAGGCTCTCGGTTTCAGTGTCACTGTCTGTGCTATCCAGCGCTCCCGGTGTTTTCCGACTAGCTTCCGATTTCCTCTTGTCATCGTCGTCTTCCTCGGTGAGCAGTTCCTTCGACTGCGTCTTCTCCTTCTCCGCCTCTTGTGCCTGCACCGCTACCAATTCCTGAGCAAACCAGTTGATCGACCACCATAGTGACGCGGAGAGGACGGAGAGGACGACGAAGTGGATGCTGTAGGTCGCGAGGAGGAGCAGGAAGAGCACCAGCTGGAGAGCGGCGAAAGTGGCGTTGGCCGCGACGAGCAGAGTGGGAGTGGGACCCGGGGTAAAGATGCTAGCCCAAAGATCCTCCACAAACGATACCATAATTTCTGATGAAGCTCCGGGCCGGGTGGTTACTTGCGGGGAAAGGGAGACGGATTCCGTGTCTGAGACAGGGGTCTGCACTGTGGAATGACGTTGAGTCGGAAAATGGAATCCGCGGGGGGGTGGCTTTTTCGACTGCTGCACGACTGTCAGTGATGCAAACGCAAAATGCGGTCGGGTCGGGATGCCATCTGCCAAGCTGCACGGGTTTTCACAGACCAGTTTTCAAGTCGGACGCGCTGAATCAAGGGCGCCGTCTGGGTTTGGTGAAGGGAGAACGTTCAGGACGCTTGTGTCTCCGAGAAGTCGGCGGGTAGCCGAAGCTGAGCGGTCGGAAATTGAAATGCGAGATGTGGAGCAGGACAAGGCCGGAAAACTGGAGCCAGCCCCAAGTTGGTCCAGGGAGCTAGAATCAGTGGTCCTTCCCCGTGGGGATTATTTCACGACTAGAGAGTGGAGGAGAGAAGACGTGGAGTAGAAGCACGTATGGATTCAGTTGTGGTTGGCGATGTTGACGGTTTTGTAAGGGAAACGAAAGGAAGAAAAGAAGAAAAGACGAAGAGGAAGATAAGGCACGTCATACAACAGAGGGGCAGAGCAGAACGACAACCGTAAACCTCAGGCAGTCAGGCCGTCAGGTAGGATATGATACATGATCGGACGCTATTCCACGTCCGGTCAGGCATCACCCGTGATCGATTCGATACTAAACATCGCCAAATCGCATGATAAGGCCAAATGATTTGATTCTCCCCCTTCGGGCACCCAAACGATTGATTCGTGTTCCTAGCTCTTTGGCGCTGCTCAATTTTTCGGCTACGTAGAAGAGTAGTGCGGGAATTCTCGGTTCCCTCTTCTCCCCTATACTGAATGATTATTCTTGTCTTGGTTTCCCAACTAGAGTCAATCAACGTTTGCCCTAAGTACGTCGTGTTACTCTATCGCTTCTCTCTCCAGTCGAATGGCGTATACGGACGACGTCCGGTCGGCTTTCGAAATGCCCTCGTTCAGTTGCCGTCTCTTAATGCAACTCTAAATACGATCACCCGCCAATCCTTTCCCCCGCAATCCCGTAGTAAGCCGCCTGCCATGATTTGATGAGATCCCGAGGTCTACATTGGTGACCCCCCACGAGAGGGATGATTGGACCCATGGACTCTCTCCTCCTTGCCGTGAATGATGACATCTTGAACAAACTGGGCGACTCCTGTACGCGGCGTGTCCTTGTCTTGGGTCTCACTAGCTGGCGGGGGGATCCATGTCGGCGCATATTCCACGTTGCGGTGGAGGAGATTCGATTCTGGACATGCTCGCGGAAGATTCCTTTCGCGGCGCTCGTGATTTGCTGTTTGCCTAAACCGGCGGAGGGCGGCATTCGGCACGTGCCCCTGTGGCATCACGGGTCGTATCAAGGACCAAAGGAAAGGCAGGGTTAGTAGACAGCATATTCGACGTCGAACATGACTTCGACCCTGCACAAACTCATGTAGAACTTTCTACCACACATCGACGCTCGAAGGGGATACTAGAAGAATGATTCCAGGGCCAACAATGGTTTTCTATCCTCTTCTATCGCCGTATCTGCCCGTTCCACCAACTGGGAATGAATTTCTACCGGCTTCCAACAATGCAGGCCCACTATCAAAAGTTCTCCCCCAAAGCTAGCCGGGAACTTTCTCTATGTAGTTTAGCCGAAGTCTGTCTGGGCTCCCAATCGACGGCCCACTCTCGTAACGGCTTCCTATTCGGCCGTCCGGCGGATCGTCCTTCAATCCAGACAGCTAAGACGGGGTAGGGTTATTTTCTTCTTTGCTTTTCTGTCTCATGGATCTGGAAGCTATCCGACCGACCTGCGAATCAGGACTGCAGCTCGGCCTTTGGCTTTTCCTATTCTCTGGTTGGCTGCTGGCCTCAAGTACTAGTAATTCGTATGGGTGGGCAACCCTAGTTACCCTACCATGTTATCTATATAAATCGTCCGGTAGCTCCTGAATTTCCCGTCCTCCCCTGTGCTACAGTACGGCGAATTGTACACTTCACCAGGTTAAACCCCTGCCATTGCCTATCCATACTTCTCCATACCCATTCCACTTCTACCTCCCCTTCCTATAGCCGGTAGGCATGGCGTCCGAGGGACCGGTGCAGACGAAGGATACCCTCGATGGAAAATCCGATATCCAGGGATTCTCTCACCATGCAGAGGACATCTTGAATGATAGGGAGCCCTATGGCCCTCCGGGCCTTGCGGGCCTAGTCGCCAACCCATTCGTCTTGATGTGCGCTGCTTGTTCGACCCTCGGAGGTCTATTGTTCGGTTATGACCAAGGTGTCGTGTCGGTCATCCTAGTTATGGACCAATTCCTAGAGCGGTTCCCGGAAGTGTCCCCTGACTCGTCGGGTTCGGGTTTCTGGAAGGGTCTGATGACAGCAATGATTGAGCTGGGTGCCTTGTTGGGCGCTCTGAACCAGGGTTGGATCGCCGATAAGATCTCCAGACGTTACTCTATCATTGTTGCGGTTATTATCTTTATCATTGGCTCTGCCCTTCAAACCGGCGCAGTCGACTACGCGATGTTGACGGTGGCCCGGTTGATCGGAGGTGTGGGTATCGGTATGCTATCGATGGTTGCCCCATTGTATATTTCTGAAATCAGTATGTCCAAATGTCGATCTCTAGTCAAGAGGGTGCGGTGCTAATCGGTACTCATTCCAGGTCCTCCCGAGTGTCGAGGTACTCTCTTGGTGCTGGAAGAATTCTGCATTGTTCTCGGAATCGTCATCGCTTACTGGATTACCTATGGTACCAGATTCATGGCTGGAGAGTGGTCCTGGAGACTTCCCTTCCTGCTGCAGATGGTCCCCGGCTTTGTTCTCATTGGCGGTGTCATGGTTCTTCCGTTCTCCCCCAGATGGTTGGCCTCCAAGGACCGGTATGAGGAAGCGCTCGAGAGTCTCTCAAAACTGCGGCGGCTGCCTACTACCGATAAGCGTGTCCGTCAGGAATTCCTGGACATCCAAGCAGAAGTGCGCTTCCACCAAGAAATGAATGCGGAGAAGCACCCTCATCTCCAGGGTGGTGGGCTCAAGGATGCTTTCCTTCTCGAGATGGCATCTTGGGCGGATTGTTTCAAGCCCGGCTGTTGGAAGAGAACCCACGTTGGTGTTGGACTCATGTTTTTCCAACAGGTCAGTACCAAACACCCCCCCCAACCTACTTTTCTCGGCCTTCGTGACTAATGTTCAAACTGTAGTTTGTCGGTATCAACGCGTTAATCTACTACAGTCCGACTCTCTTCGGAACCATGGGCCTGGACTACGATATGCAGCTTTTGATGTCCGGAATCCTCAACGTCACACAACTTGTCGGAGTAATCACAACTGTGTGGACGATGGACAGCTTTGGCCGACGCCCGCTACTTCTCTCCGGCGCGTTGATCATGACCATCAGCCATGTGATCATCGCCGTCCTCGTCGGTCTCTACTCGGACAACTGGCCCGCACACCGGCCGCAGGGCTGGGCTTCTGTCGCTTTGCTGCTGCTATACATGATTGCATTTGGCGCCAGCTGGGGCCCAGTCGGCTGGGCCATGCCTTCTGGTGAGTATCCGCCAGCTCTAATTCAAAAGAATCTGTAGCCTAACCGATGTACAGAGGTATTCCCATCATCTCTCCGTGCCAAGGGTGTAGCGCTCTCAACATGCTCCAACTGGCTCAACAACTTCATCATAGTGAGTATCCACCGCGCCATCCACCTCCAGATGCCATAGTTACTAACAAGAACACTCAGGGTCTGATCACACCTCCCCTTGTCCAAAACACCGGATTCGGCGCCTACACATTCTTCGCCGTATTCTGTCTACTAGCCTTCTTCTGGACGTTCTTCTTCGTTCCCGAGACCAAGGGTCGCACGCTCGAGCAGATGGACCACGTGTTTAAGGATAACTCGAGCGAAGCCGAAGAGGCCCGCCGTCATGCTATTGAGGTGGAGCTGCTTCGTGCCGAAGCGGAGAGACACGCCATGGAAGCTTGAGCTTGAGCCGTGAGACTCGATATCTGGGTCCGTTGTTGTGTGTGTTGATCTCTCCGCTCGTTGTTGGCTTCGGCATGCTGGGGTCCCAGGTGGGCTCTTATTTCGCTTCGTATTATTGTATATCAGATGTTTTGTAGATAGGCTTTTAACGAGATTATGATTCATGCAATTTTGTCTATTCTAATGATGATACTAGGAGATACTATTCCCGATATTAAAAGTAATCAAATTCCGGAAATGCGTAGTCAAGTTCCTTGTCGTCGTCAAGATCACTGTCTTTCCCTATTTATAGCTGATTGAAAACATAGTTGGTTGTATATATAATGAATGCGACCCGAGCTCAATGGCCCAGACTGAACTCACATTGACGTGGTATGAATATCTTACGCAGTGGCATCCATATACGCGTATGGCAGAGAAATAAATTCTATAACCTCTCGCCACCATCCCCTGAATTCTAAAACCCATTCATACTTAGGGTAAACGGTCCTATTATACAGACATTGACCTCAGTATCGCCCTTTCCTAAATAGGACTAGTACATCAGCTTATCGATAAGCCATACCCCGCTGAGTCATCAACGCGTGAACGCAGGCGCGAAAAGCAGCCAAATCAATCGCAGCCAAACAAGCGACCAACAACGGCGATGCCTTAAAAAGCGAGGGGCGGAGGAAACGACGACATGGCGACTACCTTACCCAACCGGCGACGTATCTTCGCGACTGTTTTCCCACCCGTCCAGCTAGACGATGCGAAGCCCAGACCAACGGCCCGAGATGCGGAGCAAGCGACGGGGGAGCGGGCATGGCTGGTAGCGACGAAGTTCTTGTCCATCCCGGACCAGGGGTTCCGCGGGATTGAGAACTATGTGCCCAAGGCGCCGGGCAGGGAGCTGAACGATGCGTTGGCGTATTTGGCGGCCGGGGCTGCGGATCGAGAGGAGTGGAGTATCTATGAATGGTATGGGAGTGAGATGCGGAGACACTTTTATAGGAATTTCAAGGTTGGGCTTGTCAAGGTGGGTGTTTGGTTCCTTGCATTGTGGATGTGATGGGGATGTTTGTTGCTAAGTGGGTGTGCTATTTTTCTTCTTCTAGCTTCTGGATCAGCCGAATGGGCTACGCAAAATCGTTTATTGTCTGCAGTTGATACGGAAGATCTACTTTGCGCCTTTGATGGAGTACCTCCTCCCGCTGCTGGGTGTGGTGGAGCAGGAGAAGGTGTTTGTCCAGCGGCGGAGGGGCTTTCACTTGATGATTGCTTACACTCTACCGTGGCAGCGTGTCTCGCCATTGCTTACGAGAGAGTTGATGACACATGCTGTTACGATACTGGGGATTGATACACTGGAGGAGGAGGAGGACGACGACAGCGCTGTTGAGGAGGATGAGGATAGCATGGAGGTCGACCGACGGCACTCCGTTTCATACCAGGCTTGGCGGGATGAGCCCTCTGCAGAGGTTCGCATGCAGATGATGACCGAAGGCGAGGATACGCGCGTTACTGCTGCCCGTGAACGACTACTGTCGCTCTTCAATGACCTTGAGCTTGTCGGACTGGGCGGGGTCAGGGCTCAGAAGGTCTTCGCGAGTGTGATGAATACCATGATGACGGAGTTTATTCGGGCTGCGTATTCCGGGCAGTGGGAGGGGCCATCGAAAGTCTCACAACACCTCCGACACTGGGTAGAAAATGTTTATGCTCGGCTGGCTGTGCAGGTCTTAGCCATCATCAATGTGCCCGAGTCTGGAACCAAAGAGGCTGACCGTCTGGACGTGAAACTCAGCGACGTGGAAAAGTGGCAGGAAATTGGCCTTTCTCGACTGGGGGCACTTCGGACCGGGGAACTATTTGATATTATAGTCGAGTGGCCGGCGAGTAGTGGTGCGATTGATGATTTGCGTCATTTTACGGCACACCCAGCAGGACGATTCCAGGCGACGCACTCTTTCTCCGCTGTGTTGGATCACCGTCTTTTGCACCCGGGCGCTTCAACGGTTGAGATATTGCAGGTCTATATATCGATTATCCGCGCATTCAACCTGTTAGACCCGAAGGGTGTCCTTCTGGATCGGATCGCTCGACCCATTCGCAGGTATCTTCGAGATCGACCTGACACAGTGAAGGTGATCGTCGGGGGTCTTATGGCCGACCCTGCCGATGCCCACGGTCAGACGGGCTCTGGAGACACATTGGTTGAATTGTCCGCAGAATTGACCAAGGCACACCAAACTTCTATGAGGAGTGACCGAGGAGAGCTGGATTGGGATGATATGAACTGGATGCCCGATCCGGTCGACGCAGCACCTGACTACCGGAAATCGAAGACCTCGGACGTCATTGGTAGCTTGATCAGTTTGTTCGATTCGAAGGAGGCCTTTGTGAAGGAGATGCAGAGAATGCTCGCAGACCGGCTGCTCCAAAGGCGAACGGACTTTGATCAGGAGATGTCGGTGCTGGAACTCCTCAAGCTTCGCTTTGGTGACAATGCTTTGCAGGCTTGTGAGGTCATGATGCGGGATATCTTTGATTCGCGGCGGGTCGATGCAGTGGTGAGAAACGACCAGGACCTAACCAGGAAACCTGCAGCGTCTACGCCGAGCTCGAACGACGAAGACATCCCCGAGCTGCATGCCAAGATCTTGTCCCACTTCTTCTGGCCCGAAATCCAAGAGCAGGACTTCAACGTGCCGGAGGAAATTGCAGAGTTGCAGCAGCGTTATGCGGACGGATTCGCGTCGCTCAAGCAGTCCCGTAAGCTAACCTGGCTGAATGGTCTGGGACAAGTCACGATCGAGCTGGATCTCGAGGACCGAGTGTTTGTGGACGAAGTATCCACTTGGCAGGCGACCGTCATCTATGCATTCAACTCGCCGTCCGGCGATACGATTAGCAAGAGCGCCAATGAATTGGCAGAGGAATTGGACATGTCGGTGGTGTTGGTGCGCAGCGCATGTTTGTTCTGGGTCAGCAAACGCATCCTGGCCGAGGTGCAGCGAGACACGTTCCGTGTGCTGGAGGTTCTACCGAATGAGGAGGACGAGGCTGTCGGAGGCACTGGCGTATCAGCCACGGACGATAACGCAGGCGATGCATCGGCGGACAGTGCAGCAGCAGCCGAAGCGGCGGCGGCGGCCGCAGCGAAAGAATCTGCAGAGGCGGCGGCGATGGAGAAGATGAACTTGTACTGGCAGTTTATCATGGGCATGTTGACCAACCAAGGTGCCATGCCGCTGCAACGCATTGTGATGATGCTGAAGATCGCCGTCCCGGGCGGGTTTCCGTTCAGCAACGAAGAACTACGGGAGTTTCTGGCGGGGATGGTGGCCAAGGGAAAGCTCGAGATCGTCAGCGGAGGCAACTACAAGATCGTCCAATAATTCCATGGCATACGACTTATGACTAATGATGTATAGATTATAATGGTCGTTACTAATTAAACATGGTATTGAGCTAGAAAAGTGGCAAGGCTAAAGCGTACAGACATTACGTTAAAACAACACATATCCACATCATTGGCATGTAACCCAAGGACGGAATTACTCCGCATCCAACGGGGCGACGGGGGCCTGATCGTCGACTTGAATGCCACCTCTCTTCTTCTCGTTACTATCCCAGAAGGGCAGCTTCCAGCCCCCTTCGTGCTCGGGCGTCGCCAACCACAGACGCATCAGATGTCTGCGAGGGGCTGGGGGCGCATGATCCTTGTACGCGGTACGTGCGTGCAGAACGTGCGAGTTAGACAGGAATTGGATGTCGCCGACCTCCAGGATCATGTGCAGTGAGAGGCGGTTGCAGGTGGCCTCGAGGACTTCCAGCGCCTCGACCTGGGCAGCGGAGAGCGGAGGGACGATGCCTGCTTCGGAGAAGCGGGAGAGAGAGCGGACGTAATACGGATCCCACCTGCGCGCCCCGTTAGCATCCGTTCTGGTGGGAGAAAACACGGGGGAGAACATACTTGGTGTAAACGCGGGCATTGTCGCCCCGCTCCAGGTAGATCACGCTGGTGCGAATGTACTCCTCCTCACCTTTGCTGGTCTCGCCCTTGCGGTCAAAGTACCAGATGGGCTCCGTGAGGGTCTTTAGCACGTCCGGGCGCTCCTGGGCGAGCGTGTTGTAGACATGGTGGGACGAAACAATGTCGGACTCGCCCCCTTCGAGAGCACGAGCGATGCACAGCAGACCGACGATATCGGAGTCGTCCGAGTGGAAGAATTGTCTGCTCCCTATCAGCACCACCATCTCTACCAGCACCGGGGAAACCCGAATAACATACCTCGCATTGGTCCGGTAGATGCGCACGGAGTCAATCTGGGTGGCATCCTCCCCCAGATCCTTTACATGACCCAAGACATGGCCACGGCTGTTCTGACTGACAAAATAACCCAGGTACGTGCCCAGACCCATGTAGGCGACGGCCGACTTGTGGTTCCCCCATTCCTGGACGGGGAAACCCTTGAAGAGAATGAAGCCCTTGCCATCGACGAGGTCTGCCCGCAGTTCGGTGAGGCGCTTGGCGAGGTTCGGAAGGGGGAAGTTGCTCTATACCCTATTAGCCTGTGTACCATCGCATGCATGATCTCCCACACCCACCTTAGAAATGCCAGTCAAGGGAATCTTGTTGGCCAGGAATTGATCGGCGGTCGCGCTCAACTCAGCGATCTCCTCCGGCGTAAACCGATGCGTCCACTTCTCGGGGGCATCGCGATACTCCTCGGCCTTCCAAACGGTCGGACCGGAGATTTCCTCGGGGAACTGGTCAAAGGGCTTGATATGATCGTACAGCGGCGCATGCTGGCCGGTAGTCTTCAGCCCATCGGGGAAGACATCCAGGGGAAGAGTCACGGGAGCTTGCGTCAGGGCGGCCATCTCTCGACAATTGAATCGCAGAGAGAAAAGATATAGTCACAAATAAACAAGAATAAGAATCCCAAAACCACTGATGGAAAGGACAATCTTCAATGGGTCAACCCTATACACTTTCTAAACTTAACAACAACAACACCACCCAGTCCGACGCAGCCAGCTCCCTTATATACCCCTCCCCCCCCTCTCTCGATCCTAGTAGCTACCCCTCCTCTCCGCGATAATCTCGCATACTCTGGACAAGGTTTCCGATACTTGCCAGCAACATTTTCCATGCAGAATCCGACCATGCAAGAGGTGGATCACATGGCGTGCTGGCCAGGCTGAAACTTCCTATAGGACGTGGACGCCGACGCGCGCGGGCCGTGATTGGGGCGCGCGGATGGCGCAATCAACGCCCCCGGATGTTGTGATGCGGATCTTTGGCTTGGCTGCGTTGGTCCGGCAATTCGGCTCGTTCCAGGTACGTGAGTATCGTGTCTATCTGGTCTGGTTTTTGCGTCGGGGGATTCATCTGGCTCTGATTTGTTGGGGGGTTGAGGTTGCATTCGGTGGTTTGGGCTGGTTTGGTCTGGTTCCTGGTTGGGGAGTTTGGGTGGTGGTGGGTTTGTGTTGTTTCTGTTAGCAATGGCATTTTTCATAGAATTGGGAAGCAGTGTTCTTATGTTGGTTGGGTTTATTTATCATAGGTGGAAGTGTGTGATTGATGACTGTGGTATACGGAGTATGAATAATGCTGACAATTGATCGTTAGCTAGGGCAAAAGAGAAGCAGTGACTACTCTACTCTGTCTATACAAAGGTGTCTGATTCGGTGCCTGAGGCTAGAAGGGATATAGAACGGGTGTGGAATGTACTAGCCTTGGGGATATTAATTAACTTAACGTCTCGCTAGTATTTTACTTAATACTCTGTATACTGTAAGCTAGTTATTATATGACTAGAGGGTATTACCTAACTGGAGATCCAGTGTAACTATCTTTATGATGCTGGATACGTGACCAACGCTAACCTAAGACCCCTAGACTTGGTAGTGTAAACGACACATCTATTAATGGAACAGCAGAAGACATTACGAATCCAAGGTTAGGACAGTTAATACACTGGGAACTATGGGGGATGTCTTAATTAGCGTGTGGTCTACTGTGGAATAGTGTCAGTATCGCTCTCTAGTCTATATTAACTCTAATCCAGTAATCTAATCAGCTCAGTATCGGCGACTCCCGTCGCTTCACCACTTGATCTACCGGTCTCCCACTGGCACTGGAACCCTTTCAACCAGCTAAACCTGAGTCAATCTCAATGTATCTAAATTGCAATCACGATTCGACTTCGTGCGTTATTCGCTGGAGTTGTTCTGTGGTCTCGTTTCCTGGAGGTGACTCATTTCGCGTCATTTCGGATCATCCCAAATTAAATCATGAAAACGAAGACTAGCTTCAGATACGAGCCTGGTTTGGGAATTAAAAGTAGAGGCAACAGCCACTGTTGAAACCATGGCTCCAGGACAATATCAGCAACAAGATGGATTCACCAACACGCCTCTTCCCCTCGTCCCATGCCCACCAGCCGGCCTCTGTTTCTCTCTCGATTCTGGATGCCACCGTCGTCCGTTTCGCCCCGACCGGCGCAATCTGGTTCTTCGATGACTTGGGCTCGGAGGAGACCACATTCCTACACAATCTCCAAGCCTCTCTGATTCAAACACTCGACCACTTCCCCCAATGGGCCGGTCAGTTGCAATGGGTCCCATTTCAGCCGGGGCGAACCCACCGGCCCATGATCACGTACAATTCGGCGTCGGATCCAGGTGTCGAATGGTCCGTCGTGCGGCTTGCTCAGTCCATCGCCAGTTTTGCTCCCACGGCTTCAGAACGCGCCCGCAATGGGTTCTGGACCGGCGATGCTTTCACGCAAAATACATTCCTCTCCCCGACCCAGTTAGCTCTGGGTAACCTCTGCGACTACGAGGGCCTGCCCGCCGTGACGATACAAGTCACTCTGTTCGCGGGGGGAGGGTTTGCGATCGGCATGAAAGTGGCCCATTGCCTCGCAGACGCACAAGCCCTAATGGTCTTCACGCAGCAATGGGCCGCAGCCTGTCGCGGATTCCATGGCCACACCGTCCTTCCCATGGACGACCCGGTCTTCGAGCCATCCATGCTCGATTCCAAAGCCAGCGGCGACACCAACACCCCAAACCCCGACCCAACCCTCATCGCAGCAGCCCGTACTCTCCCCCTCCACCGCTACGACTGGTGGAAAACATCCGACCCAGACTACCCAGCGATCATGGTCCCCAACACCGAGAACTCCAAACCGTCCCCGGAGTACCTCACCAACGCCACCCTCTCCCCGTCCACCCCAGCCCCCTGGGCCACCTGGGACTTCTCCAAACCAGTCAGCTACACCCAGCTCCATTTCACCGGCCGCGAGCTCGACCATCTCCGGCAACTAGCCCGCACGCAACTCGGGCCCCAGCATGGCCCCATCTCCCGCCTAGACGCCCTCCTCGCGCACATCTGGACGCTCATCAACCAAGCCCGCGGCTACAACCAGTCCTCGGACCAAGTCTATCTGAACCTCAGCTTGGGCGCTCGCACGCGCGTCTCGCCGCCCCTCCCGGATACGTTCATCGGGTCGCCGATTTTCATCACGCACGCCTGCGCTTCCGGTGAGGAGGTATGCGCGTCGAGCGTGGGGGAGAACGCATCCCGGATCCGACAAACCATCCAGCAGTTCACGCCGGAGAAGCTGGGCGCGATGCTGTATGATGCGGGAAGGGAGGTTGCGCCGCAGCGCCTGTGGCAGGCGTTTATGGGCAAGAAGCATACGCTGATCACGTCCTGGTTGCGGCTGGGGGTGTATGACGTGGATTTTGATGGACACGGCCAGAGGCCGAGATACGTCCATGCCATCATGCCGGAGATGGATGGCTGTGTGCAGGTCATGGATGCCGGGGTGGACGATAGGGGGGTCGATTTGGCGGTTTATTTGGATGCGGAGGTGCTGGGGAGGGTGTTGGAGAGGAGGGTTCCTCTGGATGTGAAGGATGAGCAGTGTGGGTATTTATAATGCTGTGTATTTTGATGTCCAATGGTTTGTGAGTTATGCGAATGTCATACATGCAGTGGCAGTAGAAGATACGGGCTAGGGTTGGCTAGCTTCTTGGGGACCAAATACCAGCAATTGTTTGTATATAATCAGTTCAGGGCACATTAATTGGATTGGACCTTGGTTAATGAGTTCGGCTTCCACCTCACCTACCTGCTGAATGGACACAGTATAGTTATTGTCTGCCTCGAAGCTTCATATCACTCTTCCACGGTGACTTGGTTTGGAGGAGAGTTGGAAAACATGCGACGCCCGGAGGAGTGTACCTTCTTGTCCAGACAGGCCAAGGTATGGGGTTAGGGCTGCATAGTTAACAGCAAGTACATACATTCTATCATGGATGTGCATATATCGGTGGATTCGGAGATATCGGGGATGGACGGGTGTGTCGTGTCGGTGGTCAAAAGTCCCAACATTGATTGATCGCCAGGGTGGGCAATGCATTATTGGACGCGGTCACACCATGTCGAAGACAACATCCCTAGTATTACTTAGGTACGTACTGGCTGTGGCTGGCACGGTAGGGTTATCAGAGGCGCGCCACGACATGAACATATCATATATTGAATCTCGCTCAACTATCCACACAAATGTTTAGTATCTACCCGTCTACTACCTCTAAAGTGTATTGTCGTTGACTACTTGTAATCATTGCCCGAGTCTTACGGGTTTGGTGGTACTGGTTCTGTCTTGCTGGAATGTCTGCGCACTTGACTACTTGTTGCATGGAGATCTGGAGCTATGATTGTCCTTATCTTGAGCAAGCTGTGGGAATGGTGAGAACATTGTCTCTTGATGTTATATTCTTGGGGCTGAGAGGGGTTGGTTTGGTATAGTGTTTGTGTTCGCTTTCCTTGTATTGGAGTCTGGTGACCTCTATATATCTGAATGGCTGCTGTGTAGAGGCCATGGAAGAGGCAAAAGTAACTCGAACTTCGATGCCGAGGACGATGAAACAGTGCTAACCAGCCACTGCAGATCACTGCGCGGCCTTGATAGCCTCAAAGACACCATTATAACCACAGTTATAATCCAGATTGGCTATTCTTTCCTCCAGTGTGATATCCTTCGCCTGGACACGAGTATCCTGCAGGACTCTCGCAGTACGCGGCCGACGGATACTATAGACCTGGTCCAGAACCGCCTCAATATCCGCACGAGACATACCCGGGCGCAACAGGCGCAGAGCATCAGCATCTTCCAACGCCATATTGGCCCCCTGGCCCTGCATTGGGGTCATTGCATGAGCCGCGTCTCCTATAAGAATTGCGCGTCCGCGGTTCCAGTTGGGCAGAGGGTCCATATCCTGGAGCTCCCAGACCTTCACCTCAGTAGCGATTCTAAATAACGTCAGCCCTGACTACACAGCTGACAATATAGAAGAAGAAGAAGAAGAAGAAGAAGAAGAAGAGGAAGTACACACCCCAGAATCTTCCGCATGGGCTCATAGTAGTCGTCGAACGTCTCGATCATTTCCCGTCGGTTGCCATCCGCGTACCAGGATTCCAGGACATTTCCCCTGTTCTCCCGAGTGGGAAAGAGACACGCTAGGTTCATGTACTCGGAGTTCCGGATCGCATATGCTGCAATCATGCGGTTACTCCCATCAAGGGCCTGGAGAGCGCAGATCCGGCCGTCGGCGGTTTTGGGATCCCACCATGCGGGCAGATAGCCAAGCGTGTCTTTAACGGCCTCGGCAGAGACCGCCACGCGATAGCAGGTCATCCCGTTCTTCTTCACCTGGTGGGCATCGGAACCCACGACGCGGCGACGGAGACGTGAGTGCACGCCATCGGCGACTGCAAAGGGGGTGTCAGCAGGTTCGGGCAGAATATCCCCGGGTTGGATAGCGCGTACTAACAACTATATCGGCACCTATAACTGAGCCGTCTTCTAGCGTGATACTGGCCTCCTCCGGGTCGATGTCAACGACATTGGTGTTGAAAATCACTTGTGCTGGCTTGCCCTGGATGCCGAGGTCTTCAGAAGGAGCGGTGGCCAGTAGCAAGAGCTCGTCACGGAAGTCCGACCGCTTCATAGACAGGGTGTCTGCCCCATACTTCCCTTTGAAGTCGATGGGAAAGTCCTGTAGCTGGTTGCCGTTCCTATCAAGCGCGCGGTAGCCATAGCACGGCACGGCGCCGACGCGGGCTCGATCGAATCCCATCGTTTGGAGAATCTTGACGCCGTTGGAGAACAGACATATGCCCTGTCCACCGGTGGCTGTGTCCGCGCCACCGCGCTCGTACACAGTGACATCGTGATGCTCCCGGAGGATCCTCGCAGCTGCTAGGCCCGCTAGGCCAGAGCCGACTATTATAACTCGAAGCTTTGCTGCCATTGGTTTGGATGGTTGTTAGACTTGCGCCGGTCGAGCTGGTGGAGAATGTGAATTTGGGGACTGTGGTATCAATCAGTCTCTTTCATCTGGCTTCATATGCTGCCCTTTATACGACGACTCGCGGGGCAATAGTCAAAGCGTGGTCGCTCTCGCTGTATCTCCGATAGCCCCGACACGGAATCCAATCATTTGCTGGCGGTGAACCCTAATGTATAAGCAATCTAAGTCAGTACACCTTCACCGTTCTAGTAATTATTGGAGGAAAATCTTGTTTTCTAAGCCATAGATTATTTAGAGTGGAGCGGGTTCGCATCCCCAGCGATCATATCCAGGCCGTCCGAATCTTCTAGTTACAAGTTTCGACCGAGGCGTCGGTGTTTTGCTCGGTGATATTGGGATCGCAGTAGGCCGATATGAGCGAGGGTTTAGGTGCGACCACTCCAGCTCGCTAATCATTGAGAGCAAGGGTCAGGATCATTTCGGTGTAGTAGAGTAAAACATCAATTACGTTAACTATACACTGATAAGATATATGAGGTAAGACCTACTTGCACATGGAACGGGCTTTGTAGTTAGATATCGTGCGACATGCACAAAAACAAGGAGATAATTAATAGTAGACATGCGGAACATTTGCCCAGATAATTTCAAACACATAACCCCTAATGCTCACAAAGCGAGAAGTCACCTGTTTCGAATTTCTGGTTCTGCTCACTCGCTGTCGCACTTCTTTCTTGCATGAGCTCCTTCCTATACTCTTTCGCTTCTTCAAGAGTGACGGATGGATAGAGGATATCCTCGCTCACCATCTCCTTAATCTCTACCGGTAATCTCCGAGACAGCATCTCAGTAACGAGTTCTCGCTTCTCTTTCCCCCAGTCCTCCTGCTGGGGCGGAATGTTGGCTGAAGATATGATCCGCATATTAGGATCCACGAGGAACAAGGCCAAGATTTTGCGGTGACCTGGTTTGGACCGATCGGTCAATGAGAACGGGGAGACTCGGTGCTGGAGGATGTTGGGGAACGTAAGGAGCCGGCCTTCTTGGCAAACCACGCTGCCGAGGTTTTGAGTGATCTGCGTCTCGTCGCGAGAGCTGACATCGGGGCTGAAGCCATAGACCTGTTGTAGGAATTCATGGCGGTCCTGCTCATAGGACACTTCTGATATCTCGTCCTTATTTGCACGTTGACGGAAAGCAAGCGTACTTTGGGTGATATTCTCACTGTCATAGTAGTAGATGGCCGTGGCGCAGATGCGTTCATTCTGACGAGTGTTAGCACGAAACGTTGGCATGGAATGGAATGATGAGCATACTAGTTGTCCTTCAACATGCCAGGTGCCGCCTTCATACTCCGGCTTCTCCGGGGTCAGTTCAATGTTAGCCAGCTTCACAATGACCTGCAGCCCTGATTCATGGAACTTTTCCCATAGGTCTATTTCTGGGGTGGTGTTAAGAGGTGTGAACTTCCCTGGCTCGGGGAGTAGTATTTGTTGTGAGTTTTGCCACTCCTGATACTTCTGATCATATTCCTCGTCGTTAGTATAGTCGTCAAAATTCGGCTCCGGTATAGACGTTGGGCGATATTCAACGTTATCATAGACTATACGTGAATGGCGTTGCCTCACGTAAGTCAAAGTTCTGTTCCAGAGAGGAATTGTTCGTGCGATGATCTTCTCCACCGCCTGGTAGAGATCTCGATGTTCAGATGGATGGACACTGTTGATGTATGAATCAATGCGACATTCACCATTCTGACCAATGAACTTCACGTCGCAGGGAAGCCATTGGAACTTTCGGCTGAATGGTCTCAGCGCGTCATTTTCCCACCTCCGCCATCCGTACGCCCTCTCTCCATACCCAGCAATCTTCGCTTCTTCTTCTGGGGGAACTGGAAGTAAGTCTCCCTGTCCTACACTGCCAAGACAGTCATCAAGACTGATGACTCTGTCCGGAAGGATACGCGTCCGGCCATAAACCACAGGGAAGAGAGAGGGATGGACCAAGTCAACCACCTTCATATCAGACCCAGGGTGATAGTCTTTCTGCTCCTCTGGAACCTGTTCAAAAGGGGCCACTGCATCTTTTAACGCTTGTTTCAGGTCCTCGGGAATGGCAGTGTCAGATTTCACCACACCAGCGTCATACGCCCGGAACAAACCCGTTTTCTGGAAATCGTCTACTTTCCACTGAAGCTCTTTAATGATGTAATCCATCATTTTGGGGGTTACATCCTCGCCGCTTTGAGCGATCTCTTCCCGCCATTTGGAAGTGATGGCTTCGTCGAACACCTGGGCCGCCGTGTGAGTACTAGTAGGTGGCATTGCGGGACGAGATGCATACCTTTCTATCCCATTCGGGTTTGTCGGTAATAGTATTCATGACACGCATCATCAATATCTCCCTGTGTACATTGACACGGCTAAATGCGCGTCAGTAAACCTGGCCCATTGCGCGGGATACCTTGCGGAGCCTTACTCAACCGAACCGTACTCAATGTCACCATAGTCCAAGGCATTGGGAAAGAGTGTACGCTTGAATCTCTCGCCACTCTAAGAACAAAGACTCGGTGAGCTATACTCCAAACCATGTATCTCGATGATACAGGGGTGCGATGGTGGTACTGACATCTGGTCTATAATTCAGGGGTAAATTATAGCCTGGTAGTTGGAAACGATTTGGGAGCTCGGCCGGCATTGTGCGGAGCTTAATTGCTTAATATAGGAGACTGGGTATAGGAGTATGATAGATGTTCCTGATCTGATATTGTGTAGATTTATAGCGCACGGTGGGGATCGGCAGCGGGGGTCGAGCGATCCGCATGGCGGCGAACTTCCAGGCAGATCGCAGGCATCAACTCGACGCTATTCCTTTTGCGGGAGGGGGCCCCACCCTTACCTAGTTCTGCCTGGCAGATGCCTGATTCCCGTTCCACGTCGCCCTCTAATTCATCATTTAGCCATGACGACAGGAAATCGCCTTTCCTCTTCATAGTCGCCAGGGTGCTTAACAACAGAAGCCTGATAAGTCCACAGATTCGTGCCCAGTACCACCAGTAAACCGGTCCGACGGCTACTTCGTCACCGAGCCGAGTTTCTGAAGGGGCCTCTGGGGGTGCAGGGACCTTTCAGTGGAGCCCCGCCAGCATAATTGTGCAACTCTCGCAGTACTAGTATTACCCCTTTTGACTATTGCTGCCCTAAGTGTTGCAAGGGCTTTGGGGGCTCGACGCCACCACCGACAAGCCGTTTGAGCAAGTTGCAGCGAGGGCCTCCCTTCTGACGCTAAGAAAGGTGCCCTGTTCCCTTCCTTTAGTGTGGAATCCTTTGTTCTGACCTGTAGCACCCCTGTGGGGCCTTGTGAAGTGAGCTTTCTTTGTGTGTAAGGATATCCACTACGTACCAGGGGGCGGCACGTACCGGATCCACCGCATATATTCGTTGCGTGACAACCGTCGCCTCAACGTAGAGCATATAAGCTAGTAGGCTAAAGATCTATTCCGCTTTGGATGGTACAGGAGTGAGGATGATCAGGCTGGGCAATTATCACGCCCAGTTAAGCAGGAAGCGAAACATTAGGGCTGTGCAACTGGTTCGCTTGCATTTCGGTGGGTGGGTCATATGTGCCCGCTTTTGACAGGGATTTCTTAGACACGAACAACGCCGTAGAGGTCTCTTCGATGGTTCGAGCCAGTAGCTGGTCTCTTTGCCGCTTGAAAGTCGATTTGCCCAGTTATAGTGGTGGTACGTTGCAGGATATCTATGGTATACAGAACGACGGCAGTACGTTTAGTGTAGGCGCGCTGATCGTCTCAGTACAAAGCTGAATCAAAAGGGGTTGAAGGCTGTTTCAAAGGGACTACATAGCGAAGCTCTATATGATATACTCTACGTGTTTGAAGAGTTAGAGAAATAAGTCTCCATTTCCTCCATCACGTTGCGAATTTGCTCGCCAAGGTGTATGTCGATGATGGATCGCCACCTTTTCTGATGTATAGATTTCACATCGCTGAGATTGGCCCCATTCGAAATTCAAAGCCTTGCGATTCCATTCCGAAGACAATCTCCCCCAAGGCATTCTGCCATCTGTTCTATATGCAAAATTGAACAGGTTTTGCTCAGGGTACTTGTTGACCTAGCGTCCTAGGGTACGCTATTCTATGAGGCTAAAAGGGCGAGCCATGCTTGATTTCATTCAATCAAGCACACCCTAGGCCGACATTTATACAACTTTCCTTGATGCGGCTCATTGGCCTAACAGTCGTCATGATAGTTTTGAAGCTAGGTAAAAGGAGGAGCATGAAACGACCGATGAGAGACTGTATTTAGGGACATTATATGGAATAACGTCCGCCTAGCATTAACTAGTAAGATGAATTCCAAGGGTATCAGTGAAGAACAGGCACCCATATTCACTTGGAGTTGCCTTCATCGCATATTAGATTTGCGCCTTGGCCTCGACCGGGGTGACTTGGGTGTACTTGCCGCCAGAGATCTCGCTAACTGGTGGCAGAGTGCCGAAGATAATGTACTCTGCACCTTTCTCAATGGTGACGTCAGCAATTGTTTTAGCACTTTGATACTCTGTTTCCAGCCCATCCGGGTCAGGGGTAGGCGTTGTCATGGCGAAGATGGTGTGCGCGTCGTTCAGAGCTTCCTTCAGGGAGAATTGGCTGAGCACGTCACCCTGGACAACCTCGACCTTCTCCTTGAGCTGTTGAGCCTTCTCTGAATCGACGTTCCGGGTTATAGCACGGATCCTATACTGCTGTGAAAGCTCTGGGTCGTTCAACACATAGTCGATCACTGAACCGCCATGTAGGCCAGTTGCACCAAAAACGGCTAAGGTTTCAAGACATATTTGACGTTGGGTCGGGCGTGATACGTTCTCAAACGTAATCTGAGATACTTTGAAGCCTAACTATATCCATGTTGAATGACTATCATACTCTTCGTCTTATACTATCCGTGACTACACAGAGAAGTCATTATATCAGGCTTATGGACGAATCCGTCTCACCTTGGCTTATGAATCGCCAGCTAAAGCTGATAGATGGGATACAGCGTGGAGGGCTGCTGATGCAAAAGTCTTACCACCAGCTACCAGTCAGGATTCCCTAGACTTGTCAGCTACCGTACTGAGTTGAAACCATACTCTAAGCTATTTACCACCTTTATTTAACTTCGTTTAGCTGCTAAAGTCAATTTTATTACTCGCTAATGAGGTCAGGGGTGGCCCCAGGGGCAATTTACTGACCAGGAGGTGAGAAACGAGTAATTTTGATTGATCTCGACCTTATGCGAGTGAAGTATTCGTATCGCCACGCCGGCCCTTTAAAAATTGGTCAAGTCCATGAGAGAACCAACCTACTTATGACTGGGGTCCGGCAGTCCGCTTGTTATATACCGAGTAAGTACCCCCCCAAGTAGAGTTTCAAGACAGTCATATACATTTAGTTGGGATGTAGTTACGGTAAAGGAGTTATGAGTGGTAGTCAGGCGGAAGCATGAACTGCTGGGCACGAGTTCCCCCGCAATTTTAATCATTGTAGTTGAACTAGATCGTATTATCCCCGTGTCATGAAACTTCAAGGCTCATCTATCTCGGCCACATCTGTGTCTGATGGCCTCTTCTCCTTTCGAGCTGGACGAGGTTGATTCTTCCAATTCCTCAAGCCCAGTATGCCCACCAGAAATGCCATGCCTGAGGATGCAATGCAAATTGCCATCACGCTCTTGATGCCTTCCATGTATGCCATGATAATGCCGCCAACATCCTCATAATTGAAGGTCGCTCTGATCTCCGTGGCGCCTGTTTGAACCACTATTTGGGGGTCTATCTTAGGGGCGGTAGTGGCTAAAGTGCTGGCAATTGTGTTGACAAATGCGGCTTGCGCTGCTGTATTGAAGGTGGTGGCTCCGATATTTTGGAAAACTGCACTCATTTCAGTGATTGTACTTTCGTGATACGAGGCAACACCTGGTGCAACATTTCGGGGGCAGAAGCTAGACTCACATAAAATAATGGCGGTGATAGATGACATGTCTTGAGGGGAAGCACTACTTTGAGCAATGATAATCGGAAGCTGGAATGACATGCCCCAGCCTACTCCTCCTATAATCTGGTACCCAATCCATGGTCCTGCATTAGTAGTAGGCTCGAGCGTGTAGAGGAGTCCGGAAGCGATAGTTGCAAGGGCTGCTCCGACGATTTGCAGAGGCACGGGAATACCAGTAGCGGAAACGAAGATCCCAGCGGAGAGCATGGCCAAGGTAGTGGAGATAACCAGTGGAAGACTATCAACACCGGACATAATGGCACTGGTACCATGGACGCCCTGGAAGTATACCGGTAAGTAGTAAATGACGACGAAGTATGGCGCGGCTAGAAAGAATATGAACAGAGCGCTAATCCCCACGGGACCCTGGCATATCAGTCTGGGTATAATCAATGCTAGCTCGCCTTGTAAGACCTCCCAGGCGCAGAAGACGATTAGGATAAGGATCCAGCCGACGATCAACCCAACGACTTCATGATTGCTCCACGGCATGGTCTGCCCACCGTATTGAAGCGCCAACATGTAGCTTACGAGCGCACCCATAACCAGAACACAGCCGACAGGGTCCATTGCCAATATCTTCTCCTTCCAGCTAGCTTTGACTGGCTGAGCACGAGCGGGAACGTGAAGAAAGAATAAAATGATCAAGACCACAATGCCGCCTATAGGAAGATTGATATAGAAGCACCAACGCCAGGACACACGGTCTGAGAAAGCTCCCCCGATAAGCGGTCCGAGAACGGCCGCCACCCCGTACGCCATTCCTACGGCGCCTGTAAACCTGGCTCGAACTCGAGGTTCGATGGTAAAGGCAATTATTGTGTATACGCCCGTTAAATTCCCTGCAGCGCCTAATCCCGCAATTGCACGACCGAGGATCAGAGCAGTCGAATTGGGCGCCACACCGCATATCAGGCTTCCCACTTCAAAAGTGGTAATAGCCACAAGGAAGGTCGATTTCAGAGGGAAGTACTTGTAGGCTTTGCCCCACGCCGACTGAGAGCCACCACTGGTCAACCAAAACACGGCGCTATACCACGAGACCTTGTTGAGACCGTGGAATTCGTCGGTGATTTTCGGGATAGCCGTAGCTAAAATGGACTAGATATGCAGTCGAAGATGCGACGCCTATTAGCCAGACTACCTCGTGTGACCCTTCGTTAAATGGGGTCAGATTCGGGCTCACAGTCAGGCGCTGTGTTGGGACAGTATACTCGCTTGCTTACTTACCATGTCTAAAGCACTCAAGAAATCGCTGATCAGCAACGCAGTAAATACCAGACTTAGTCGTACTCCATGAGCATAATCATCATCGTCCAACTGCTGCGTGGGACCTTGCACAGTTACAGCTTCCGAATCGGAGTTTCCTCTTTCGCCCCCATCAGGGCTAAGACGAGGGCTCATGGCTTCCTCCCCATGATTTTTCCCGACTGCTGAATGACTTCTCCTTGGCATGAGAGCAGTATTGTTGGTGTTCTCTTGGTTCTTGGTGGTGGTGGTGGTGGTCTAAACGCTAGACTGAAGACGTCAGGCCGAGCTCTCAATCCACTGCATATACCTGAGTGTATGAAAGTCGAGCCTCACACACGTCTGCTATAGTGGAAGCCGAAAATTAGGAGAGGATAGATGCCTTGCCGCATATTTTGAATGAACGGATTCAACCCTAACAAGGGGTGGTGGAATGCAGGAGGTCTGTTGTGGCTGGCTTTGACCCACCAGACAGCCTTAATTTGTCTCTCCTGTCTCTCTCCTATTTTCTTACCTTTCTTTTGTTTTATTGTTCTTCTATTTATTCTTCGATATCAGCAAAATGAGACACTCTGGTCCCCTAACTCCCTCTGGTAGTAATCACCGAGGTGATTGTGCACTCGTGGTCATAATTTCACCTCTAGACTTTCTTTGGAAGGATATTTAGTAATTGTTACATGTGTGATCATTGATACCAACCCAGCTTATCCTCTCCCGGTCTCTGTTGACGTTGCTAAGTATATTGTTTCAGTTTCATTGGTATCTGCCGATCTTGTAATCATTATCATCCCTATAGTGATTGCAATCTACCCTCTACCGATGTAAGGAGGTGCCCTGTGAGGAATCGATGCCCCCCTGATGCAAGAATACAGTTATACAATAAGAACATAATAGGTTCCCGGGTTCGTATCGTGGGCTTAAAAAGGTAGGACAAATCTTTGACTACATTGGCATGTTTATTCATGTTTATCTGTGCTACCTCCTGTTGGGCTGAGCAGCGTCAATTTCAGGCCAAGGTAGCACCTGCTCAAACAGAGGTGGTATAACAATCTACTGACTGTAAATGTATCCAACGGTGTACTCGTGGCGTTGGCTATTCCTACTGATGTCCTTTGAACCTGAGCATCAGGGTTCAACTACAGGTATTCTGGCGCATATGAAAGAAACCTGGATCACTATGCATTGTTGGATCGATCAAGGTTCTAGACAATGCGACTAGAATAGACGAATACTCTGCCATATCATACCCCATCACCAAGAATCTGAGTATCCATCAACCGATGGCAATCAAAGAAGCCCGAAACTTGAGAATTATCAAGGGTGCCCGGTTATAGCTCAACACAAAGAGAAGTAGTCAACCGCTCATCTGCCACAATCAACGATCAGTCGGTGCATGGAAGCGGATCATTAGTTTAGGCTTCCACCACATCCCATGTAGTCTTGTATCTCTCAACCAATCAATCTCCTTGTTGACCAGTTCCAGATCATATGTCCAGAACATTTTCGTCATGACCAAGTTCAGTTCCATGATGGCGAAACTATTTATGTTCAAGTCAGATTATCATCGTTGCAATTGGGAGCAGAAAGCGGGTTATATAGCTTACTTTCTTCCTAAACAATCCCATGGTCCGAACAAGAACGGCTGGCTCGCTTCCTTACGATCGGTCGAGTTGGCGTCTAGCCAGCGTTCGGGCAGGAATTCCATCGGGTTGCTGAAATATTCAGGCCGGTGGGTCACCGTCCACAGACTGGTATACAATTCAACCTACGAGCCGACGGCGGGTTAGTTGATTTTTCCCCTTTCTTCTCCTGCAAGCACGCCAGAGGGTGGATCTTACCCCGGGAGGAATGTATGTATCGTGCACCTCAAAGCCACCGGAGATTCTTCCAAGACCGTGCGAACCAGGCGGACAGAGTCGGAGACCTTCGTTAATGACAGCCTGTAAATATGGGAGGCGTTGTGCCTCTGTAGCATTAATTTCGTCATACGATTGAAACTTGCCCCGAATCTCAGAGACCATTCGCTTTAGCTTTTCGGGGTGCTTGAGGAGGAAGCAAGTGGTTGATGACATAAAGGTTGCAACTGTCTCCCCCCCGGCAACCCTGTGCTCGCAGGTCAATGATCAAGCACCAGAAAAGGGATGTAGGGGTACGAACGCGAGTGTAGACACATGTGCCGCCATTTCCTCCTTCTCTACCTCCCCATCACGAACCTTTTGTGCCAAATCAGTGACAAAGTCTCTCCGGGTAGATTTTGACTCCAGGCATCTAGGGCTTGCCGTCAGCTCGGGTCCGGTGATCAATAGATCTTGTATCTTACTTTTGGACCTGACGTCGGGCATATTGCGAATTTGGGCTCTCCAGGAGATATCGTGACGGAATCAAGATGTTTCCAAGCGTGGTGAGTATGCTGAACCGCCTGACAATATCGATGACGGTGGCCATGTAAATATGGTCCAAGATGTTATTGCCCCAAAAGTGCGGTTTCCCTTCAACAGAGGATGGTTAGCCGCCAAGCCCTTTATACCTTTTTTTTGCCCTTTTCCCACAGGACGATGACATACCAGCCTCTAGGCTATGGAACGATTCTCCAAACGCCATATCACCCAGTATATCAAAGGCAGTCATCTCAAACCACTTGATCATGTTGATGCCATTCGAGCTCGGAGGGGCCTTTTCACCGATAATGCGTACAAATCGGTCAACGATACCGTCGATAATGGATTCCTGCTCAAGAAGGGCGCGCTGTGAGAAAGACGGGGAGAGCATCTTCCGCATTCTCCTATGCTTCTGGGGGTCTTCCTCGCTGCCTACACACCGCCTGCTGAACCCTGCATTCGTGGCGGCGTAGAACTCAGACTTAATATGATGAGGGCTTGTCGGCGGTCGATGGCTATGGATCGTTTTCATGGCCTCAACCGAATCGAACGAAAGTTCGTTTGGCGAGATACGGACTATGCGACCTATATTGTCGGAAATGGGTTAGCCGCCTTTTGCGCAGGACGGCCAGGTAGTAGTCACCGTATTTCTCGTGTAGCTTCGCTATGCTCATGTGGACTCTCCCTCTTGAGGTTTGGACAATTCGCCATAGCTGCCCTCCAACAGTTAGTGCAACGTTTGATCAATAGCGGCGTCTTCGACAACGTACCAGGCTACCACGAGCTAGGACAGGGCCCGGGATTCTAGCCAACGGGTGGAAGTAAACATTATAGATAAAGGTGCCGATCCAATAAGTCAGGAGCTTGGATAATAGGACTTCGGTCAGCTACGAAAAGGATACATGCAGCTTATTTTTGGAACTAACGGCCGAGGATACTCCAATGGTACAGGCAACCTGCCAGTTACTCCATGTCCATGGTGTCACCGTGAGGTTTGAAAGCGTGGGTGCGGTTCTGGAAGCAACATCCCAATACCAAGACATAATTAGTCGATCGAGAGGCTTGCTATACGGATGGTGATTATGCAGGGAATAATAAATTCGCCACTTTATGTATACGTAGCTACTCCTATAAGAGAAGATATCTAATAAATAGTTATCGTCCATGCCTCGAGATGTTATGCAGGTATTCTCGCCCCCGCTAACCAGAATTGGTGCTGTCCGAGTGGCTTCCTGAAATTATATCGTTTAGGTTCTACAGATGATCCTAGATTAGGTAAAGCCAAGTACATCTTATCATCTCTCCATGTGGCTGAGCTGAGCGAGAAGTTTCGATTACCGCTCACTGGGGGATTCTTCATTGCAACCCTTACATGAAGAACGGCCCTTGCTGGATATATTCGCCAGCTTCGGTCAAATCACTCCGACGAGCGAATACGTCTAATAAAACGTGATCGTCAATACCTGGGAAGTTTTATGCAGATGTTATCGGCGCTAACCAGACTAGGTACTATCCGAGGCCGTATTTAAACTTTCGTCGTTCGAATTCCGTATATTTCTGTATTCAGTGAGGGTAAGTCGATCTATCATATCGTCGGGTGGCCAAGCTGAGAGAGGCGTTTCAATTTGCCGCTCCCTTGGGCATGCATTCCCACCCTTACGTGAAGAATGGCCCTTTACTGTCACGTGGATACAGTAAAACCTCGATATAAGGAAATGATGGACGAAGTAGCGGGCCCTCTCCCATTGCTTGTGTTTTATAAGCTCTGCCTCAACATGAAAATCCGGTAGAGATATACGAATATCTTCGATTTGATATGGGGACATACTTCACCCGTCGATGTCAATACCTCATCTCTGGTAGAGCTTCCGTATTGAAATTGCTTTGATCGAGGGTTTGCTATGGACTATCGCCTAGGGAGTTGTGGACGAATATCTGCTGCTAAGCAATTGTGGACTGGCCTCTGAGGGTGTGATCGACGGGCATTTACATGAGAACAATACAAAGGGTCTATCTTATTTAGCAGGCAAGGGGGTAACATGTTGCACCGAGGAGCATGCCCCATGTTGCTGCAGAGCCTTTTTCCACCTCATTATAATAAAATTAGCTCCAAGCTTTTATGACTCCCCGTCGCTATGCGATGCCTGCTCTGATACGGACTCGTTTGATTTCACTCGGCCTGGAGTAGGCTGTACAGATACCTTTTGGCTTCTTCCATCGTCCTGAACCGTACTCAACAATCTTCCCAATTCCCACTCAACGCGCTGGTTGAGAAGATGGTATTAGGAGAAACTACACAAACCCCAGCGATGCTACAGAGGGCTTTTGGTATGCAATATGGATTCGTCTGGAGTCTCCTGTAACCGGAAAAGTAAGGTTCTAATACAACTCAACAAAGCCCTAATGGCTGATGTAGCCAGGAGTTCGTATTTTGTTCCTACAAAAGGGTCACCACGATCTGTTAAGCGATCTGTTATTCATTTACACGGTTCATGAGGTAGGGAACCAGATCTCACCTAACACGCAAGAAAGAATCTCGTGACGGCATAAAGCTTATCAACTGTGCATCTACGGCGGCAAATACAAGGTATTAGGATAGTCAGATAGTAAGAGCCCGCCGGTAGGTGGGATCCACGAGTGGCGGTCAGTAAGGTGCAATGGCGGAGCATAAATACTAATAAGTTCCAGATCCAATGGCTATTTTCCATTCCTCACCGTGTTATGCATTGAATGGCGCTATGCCTTTGCCTACGTCCAGATGCGCTTACCTGACCTCCAAGGTTCGAAAATGACCCGACATGCCTAGACTATTTGTCGGCAACTGCGTATGGAACACTTACCCTGCCATGTCTGATATTTGAGCGGGACAAGACACTTTTGTTTTGCTGAACTTGATTGGATGATTCTGCTGGATGTGGTTCTCTGCAAGTTTTCCTGCTGCGAAAACAATGATCTTACATTTGCTCAACGATTTTTTTAGATCTCCTCCCGGGGGGCGTTCGGCACGATCGGCTTTCCCGGTAGGGCGATCAACCTTCTCTGCTCTCTTGGGCGCTGCTATATCATCCGAGTGCGGTTAAACTTCCTAGATCTGACCTCTCATGGGACATATTATTCTCGGTCGTCTGATTCCGTATGTAATGTCTCTCTGAACGCCCCCGTGTAAACCAAATTAGCCATCAACTTTGACATGTTTTCCACACTTCGAATCCGTCCCAAGAACCGTGGACAAGCATCTGTGTTGCAGAGCACCCCATATCCTCCTGGTCAAAGATATCTAAATCCCGACTGCCAACGGGCTGCTTGCGATGCATGTCGTGAGAAGAAGGTACGTGCGGCTATGCGGGAGATAGCACATGGCTCGATGCTGTCCGCTAATAAGTAGGTGCAAATGTGCCATCAGGAATAGCTGAAGTGTTCTGGTCAGAAAAACGGCTGTGATCGATGTCGGTCAAAGGAACGCGTGTGTACATATCCAGCAACGACGAAATCCAGCCGAATGAAAGCTCGACATAGGGGGATGCAAGCCTCTGCTTCATCCTCTACATCTCAAACGTTGTTGGCGCCCTCGGGAGTCAAAGTCCATCAGACAACGACCCAGGCGGCTGTGGAAGCGCCGGTGCCTCTCGCGTTGACAAGCAACAGATCACGAACTCGTCCGAACCATGAACTCCTGGAGACCACCGACACATCGCAATCTACAGGACCAGACTTGGGGCTCTACACGTCAGGAGACGTGGGCAGCATCACACAGGAATGCAGCAATGACACCAGGCTAACGCGTTTCGTTCCACCCACACCCACTATTCCCGCCATTGGTGAGAATCAGGGTGTGTCAAGTAGCGCCGAAACAATATCGACTCTGCCCCTGGGAGACAATTGGGCCACGGGGTCGACGGGGCTCGATCCTGACATTGATCTCTCTCTTGGTGCTCTCTGGACACCATCTTTAGAACTGCTACCGCGGGAATATGACAGTCGCTCAGATTATGTCCTGCCCTCAGCCACACCGGACAATATAGACTATCCCTCCCAAACATCGTCATCAGAATTATTCCCCTCCCGATGTAAGCAACCAGCACATACCATCGAGGAACAGAGGGATGGACCGCTCCTTTACCGCTCAGCCGGACTCCAGTTTTCCACTCACACCACCCCTTCCTCTTATCCAAGCCCATTGTTCTCGGACATGCTACAAGACCAACAAAGCAGCAAACCATTTTCAAGCGGGCCATCGTCACTCTGCTCACCAGATATCGATCCGGAGTGCCAAGTATTGAAGAATAACCGTCTACCTCACCAACTGGGGATGTCCGTCAGGTCACCGTCATCCATTGCGTCGACGACATCATGCCAATGCATGCAACAAGTGCTCCTACTAAATGAAGAAGTCGAGATCGAAGCGGCACTAGATACGAGGGCACATGCAATCGATGATTTCTTGACCTTCCATAACGGTTTGATGGCACAATGCAACGGTATCTTCGATTGTATAGCTTGTAGAAAGGTGTCCGCAATTGCATTGCTGCTGATCGCAATCAGTGACCGACTGTTATGTTTATTTCAGCGCTTGTCTGAAGCATTCGTGATTCGTTTACAGAACAGCTCAATGAAGCCACATCTAGATGAGGGCACAGGGCTCCAGATCACAAGGGTAGTATCTATTGGCAGGTACACGATCGGCTCCACTCGGGGTCAGGATGTCCTTGTCATCACTGTAATTTTACTTGAGCTTAGCACGTTGCGACGTCTTGTGCTGCAACTCTGCAACAATGCAATCTGCGCCGGGTGGGAGAGACATGCAGCACGGCTGCACTCTATTTACGAACGAACGCAACAAACGACGGCAGTCCTGAAGCAGGCGACTGGCGGGATACTAGAGGGGCTGGATATATAGCCATCCAGTGCTTACGCTGCAGCATTCTGCGCCATTGCAGAGACGGCATTCAGTAAACGGTATTTCAGGGCTGGGCATGCCTTGCTACCTTTTCATGATCTAGAACCCTTTGCAAGCTTTGCGTACCTCTACAGACATCAGAGCCAACTATGGGAATCCGGTAGTTAAGTGCATTGAGAAGCGATACATTTTCCAAGGCTTGCGCCAGTCGGGGTTGTTCACACCACAGCCCCGCAAGGTGAAAACACTATGTGAATAATATTAGATAGAATAGCTCCATGAAGATAGATTATAGGCAATATGGCTTACATGTGAGAGATTGTTTCACCTGATGTTCAACCAAAGGGACACGGTGTTAAGGATAGAGTAGAGTATGCAATACACGACCTAACAGCTATATGGTTGTTTTGGTTGAATCGTAGCGACGTAAAATGCCCTAGAGTTAGCCCATTTGATAGAAATAAGTTCCTCAAGCCGAAGACTGTTAGTCAGCCTGGTTCGAGCCTTGCAGGCGATAAAGATAGTTGATGATTATATATAAAACAGTTATTTGCAATGCTATATATTCCGAGCATATTACCACCACATCAGCCTCTCTAGTGGAGTATCTCCAGGGATGGGCGTAAAGAGGCAAATCACATAGTCCTTTCCAGCTTTTCTCTTTTCGCTAGGCTTTAGGCAAGGCTGTGTTCATCGGGGCTACTAGAGCACCCTTTGCGAGTAAAAGGATAATAGGTTCGCCGGGTTATATATTCTAGTTATTGTTAAACAAAAGAGACCGAACGGATTGGATAACGATTTAATCCAGACAGATGAACCACGTGTCTCACTTCCTTTTGCTCAAAACCGTCTTCGATAGCACCTCCAGATTCGAACTGGTAATTATTTCTAGAATCTGTAGTTGAGCACTCATCTCACGACTCATCCAGTTACGGAACTCGACCGCTGCTAGAGAATCGAGGCCACAGGTGACTACAGAACTGGTGGGATGAATATCCTCCACCGGAATCATGAGAATGTCAGCAATCTTGTTGGCTAACGCAGTGTACACCACGTCCACAGCCTGTGCTTCACCTTCAACTTGGGCCTGCTTGATGAGGGTATTCAAACTTTTCGCACCGCCATTTGTGTCGGAAGCATCTCCCAAAGATAGCTCGGCCTCCTTTAGTAGGGATTCGAACCTGGGATCATGAGCCCAGAATCGAAATTTGATTGATTCGCCGGTCAGCCTGAGCCCCGTAAGACACTGAGGCTGCCCGGCAGGCATGACCCCAGATATCGCTGCTCCGAGGAGTGCCATGACTTCGTTTTGGGAAATGGCGTCGGATGCAAATTTTTCCGAAAAGATCTTCGCGTCACCGAGATTATCCTCTGCCAACCTTCCTGCATCTAATACTGGTGCTATATCGATGGTGGTAGCCGGTAAGCCCTGGGCTTGTCGGAATTCCGCGAATGCATCCAGGAAGGCGTTGGCGGCTGCGTATGGTGCTTGGCCACGACTGCCGATGATACCTGATATTGAGGATAGCATGATGAAAAAGTCAGGTTGATGGCCACCCGCTTGAAGTTCATGATGAATGTTCCACGTTCCAGCGACTTTGGGAGCCATGACCCTTCGCCATAGGGGATATTGCATGTCTTCAAACAGCATGTTCTGGCAGTGGTAATGTTAGCAACCCATGCATTTCAGTGCACATTACAGAGACGGAAAGAAACGAAATGAACCTACTTCAAAGACCATGGATCCCTGGATGATGCCACGGACAGGAGGCTTGTTCGCACTGCCAAGTTCCTGTAGCACTTTACGAACCTGACTCCGATCTGCCACATCGCACTGCTGCAATGTAATGTTCGCACCATTCCTCGTGGCATCCTGGATCAACCTTGCCATCTTTCCTTGTGTCGAGCTGCTTCGGGAGAGAAGGACCAGATTTCTGGCCCCTTTAGAGATCATCCATCGCGTTATCTCTCGACCAAGACCACCGGTTCCACCGATGATGATGTATGTTGCATTCGCATGAAGAAGGGTCGTTGGTAAAGGGGGGATGGGCGCCTATATTTTATTGACTCTTAGTTAATCATCATCTCATCCAAAAAAAATTGGTAGCAACAAATCAAGGAAACGAGAACGAAGAGGTAGAGGGAAAAGGGGGGGAAATTTCTTTCTTTACCTTAACTCGATCCTCTTCACCATGTAGCAGAACCACTTTATTAATCACTTCTCCAGATTGCACGAGACTGAATGCCTCTACGACCTCGGAGATCGATTTGGTCTGTTCAATCGTCAAGGGGGCAATAACGCCATTTTGTATCATGGTAAACACGTCGGACATCAAACGCTTCATCAACTGGGGTTTTTCATTCGCAATAACCGCAAGGTCCACGCTGCAGAATGTGGCGTTATAGCCAAATGGCCGCATCGGCAACCATGAATCCTCCTTGATATCTCGTTTGCCAACCTCGATAAACCGGCCAAAATGGGCAATACATTCCCAGGTCTCACGCAGACGATCCCCTGACACACCTGAAGAGTTCAGGATCACGTCGACTCCTCCGTCTCCTCCACTGCGTGAAGTTGCCTGGCAAAGAGCAGCACCAAATCGGGGATCTTCGTGGAAGAGGATGTGATCTTCTGGTAGGGTATCCTTGAAAGTGTCCACCAGGAACCCTTTTTCGATCTCGGACTTAACCGTCACGTAAATCTCAGCCCCGATATACTGAGCAAGCTTGATTGCAGCAAGTCCGATATCACTTGTACCCGCGTGTATCAACACTATCTCGTCCTTGGAAAGTCGCCCCATTTTGACCAAGGAGTAATATGCAGTACAGTACGCTGCGGGAATCGTGGCAGCAGTACCGAACGTCATCTCGTCTGGGATACGCGAAACACTGGTGTACTTACATCTAGTGAACTGGGAATAGGCCCCTTTCGTATTGACAGCACAGACTCTGTCACCGACCGAGAAGCGCCTGACTCGACTGCCAACTTGGGTTATGATTCCGGAGCATTCCGTACCGATAAAACTACTGGATGCATGTCCCATCACCTGAGATATGTCCCTCGCATTAATAGCAGTGGTTTTGATCTCGATTTCCACCTCATCAGCCTCCAGCGCTGTTCCCACTACAGTGTCGGGAATGAAGTATATGCTATCAAGAGCTCCTGGAGTACCGATAGAAAGCTTCAAAGGCGGGCGCAGATCTTTGTCGCGTGAGTAGAATGGCCGAACCTCAAGGATCTCCTCGCCATGTGCCTCACTCTGGACGAAGTTATCAACCTTGTGATCATACGTCACTCTTGGCACCAGTAGCTCGCCATCTCTCACACGGTATTCCATGTCAGATGATGGGTGTGTTGAAAAGACTTGCCCCTGGGGTGAAAGGCATCTTGTGAAGACTTCAACAATATGAGAAACAGCATCACTTTCCAGGGTGTTACTCTGGGACCGTGCTGTAATCGCGTCGAGCTCCAATACCGCAAACCTTCTGTCAGTTTCCGCACGTATACATCTGGCGAACCCGGTAGCCAAATGAGAGTTGGGATCCTGATGGCCTGCATAGTCATTGCGCAAGACCCAGAGAAGCCCACTAGCTTTCAAAACAGTTTCCTTCATCCACCGGAATTCGTTATCAGACATTGAAGGAAGGATAGATCTCCCAATCTCGATGAGAACAATGACAATGCCTGTGGGGGTGTTGGTTGCCACCTCGCTATCGGGACCAAAGGATTGCAGCTCCACTGGACTTTCTGTACGTTCCTCCAAGGTCTTTGACAATTTGAAGGCAATGTCGAACTGATCCTCTTGTCTGTAGAGAATAGTTACTGGACCCAGCAGGGCAAATGACGGTTCATTGGATCCTTCCGAACATGTATCGGCATTGCTGCTAGCTCCATCTAGCACAATCCCTTCGTACACTGGTTTCCAGTCCACCTTGTAGCAGAGACCACGGGTTGACTCCTCGAGGGATGGGCTCTCACTCTGGTATACAGGCATGACCTTTAGGCCATCCAAGCTGATCAAAGCTTCATCATGATTGTTGAGGGAGGTTACAACCAGGGAGAAATTTGTATCCGCTTGTTTTTGCGCTCTTTGTTGCTTCTGTATAGAGATCCCTTGTGCCAATGCCGATTTGGGAGATGCAAAGACTCGCAATGGAGGCCCTGTATCAGTTTGGATCCCACACGAGAGTGACATTTGCTTAACTGCGGTTACCATGTATAACGCGTTCAAGCCCGTGGTACCAGCGCCGAGTAGGGGCCAAACAGCCTGAAAGGTATTCTCAAGAACAGCTGGGTGTACGAAATAACTATTCTCGTACGCCTGGGGCATAATTGCTGCTGTGTGCGGTATGATTAGCTCTGCAACTGCGAGCTGCTCAGTATCTGTGATGGCAACGTTTTTGAGCCCTTGCAGGGTTTTTCCATACGTAGTTCCAACGGCCTCAAGTGATGCATACATGCTCGTGCAGTCAATCTGAGTTCTGCATTGTTTCTCGTTGCACAAGCTGGTCATCCGCGAACTCTTCCCGGCCGCATAGCCTCGGTTTTCGTGGATGGTTGCTGGAGTTTCTAATGTAGTACTTCCTTTGGCAGCAGAAACAAGCCCTCGGCAATGCTGAGTCCAACCTCGCTGCCGAGTCCACGATGAGACAACAAATTCAGTCCATCTAGCAGACGATGTATGTGGGCCCAACATGAAAGGGGAGAGTTTAGTGACCATCTCAACTTCCATGTCCTCGTCCAAGACAAGTGGTGTCTGGATGGCGAAGTCCCGCAGGTCAACTCGAGTCACAGAGTTACAGCTCTCCTTGTGGGTGTTGCTATTCTTTTTAAGATCACAAAGACCAAGAGTCTGGCACTGCAGAGCTGCCTCTATACCCATTGTGATGAAGCCAGCCATTGGAAAAGTGACTATGCCCTGTATCTTGTGGTCGCGCAGCCAGGGAAGATCATCCAGTTGGAAAACATGTCTCCACTCTGGAGAGAGATCATTGGCATAATCTGCGAGAATTCCAATGATCTCATTTCGAGGTGGTCTTTCTTTGGACAGATACTTCTGGCTAATACGTGAACTGTGCCAGTATGGAGTATCATGTTGAAAGGGATATGGGGGCATGTCTGTTAAGACCTGTGGAAGCGAAGTTGCCGCAGCTGGCCGATTGATAGCACCCAGATCTATAGGTATACCTCGCATGAAAAGTTCCCCGGCGGCCTTCTGGGCCGTCTCGGTGGCATCCTTGTTTCTGCGCAGCATGCTAGCATACACGAGTGAGCCATCGGAAAATCCCTTTGACACGGTCTGCTTAATTGGCCCTTCCAGGGCTGCATGGGGCCCAATTTCTAACAGAACTGTAGTGCGGAATTTAATGCCGTCAGGGTCATTGGCGGTGGCATCATATGAACACATATCCGATAGACTATCTGCAAACAAAACTGTGGATGTCAAGTTCTGGACCCAGTAATCCGCGGTGAGCTCCTGCGTATCTATCAATCGGCCACGTAGCGAGGAATGAAACCGAACTGCCGACCGGCCATGCTTGGGTCGAATATGGGCAATTGACGTGCGGTAGTTGTCTGCCACAGCTTGCATGTGGTGGGAATGGTATGCGACATTTACCTTCAACAGGCGATGGAAAACGCCTTGCTTTTCCAAGATCTGTTCTAGCTGGGAAATGCCAGCCTTGTCACCAGAAATGGTGACACTTTTTGGACTGTTGACGCACGCAATGCCAATCCGACCTTGGTTGACGGTGCTCATCATAGCCTTTATCTCGTCCGGTCCTGCACCTACAGCTAACATCGCACCCGGTGGCAATGTGGAGTTTCCAACAAGGAATCTGGCGGTCCTACCACGATGATAGGCAACAGCCATGCAGTCTTCCAATGTCAGGGCATTACTAGCGTAGGCACTGGCAATCTCGCCACTCGAATGTCCAGTCACCGCCGAGGCCTTGATATTCCAGGAGTGAAGTAGGTCCACCAAGGCAATTTGAATGGCTGTGCAGATTGGCTGGCTGATGTGAGGCTCGTTCACCTGGGTCGTTTCTGCCTCCTTCAATAGCTCCTCTGCAGTAGACTGTTAGTGCAAGTGAAGCGAATGATCATGAGAAAATAAAACATGGGGTAAGGACGACACGCCAACTGACAACCGTGCAGGAAAGAATGGGTGATACTAACCAACAAGAGAGAAGTCAGCACCCAGTGTAGCCAGGACGGCATCTGTGGCGCGTAATGTTGCGGAAAACACGGGGTATGTCATGAGCAGCTCTCGCCCCATCGCGTTCCATTGGGCCCCCTGACCAGTGAAAACAAAGGCAACTGTCGTAGGTTGCTTAGACCGCACGGGGCGTGACTGGCGATCTACGAGCTGCCTTGCCAAGTCGCTCGATCCTGTCGCTGACAATGCTATCCTCCATGACATTACGGACCGCCTCTCTCCTAAGGTATAGGCCAGGTTTCGGGGCATATTGATCTCAAATGCCTCTGGTTTTCGCTCAAGATAAACTATGAGATTTTCCATACTTGCCCGTGCTGCCTTCTCGTCATGTGCAGATAGGACAAAGAGGCGTCTTGGTTCTCGCTGGTCAGATCCTGGTGCATCCACACTTACCTCCACCGGTGCTGCTGGGCGAGATCCCTTTTCCAACACCACGTGGGCGTTTGCGCCACCAAATCCAAAGTTATTGATTGAAATGTATCGTTTGTTAGCTGGCCATGGTGTTTGGCATGTCGGTACCTGTATTCACCACCCGTTAACCAAACCGGACTGTCGGGCTCAAGGTAGGTGAGGCCATCGATCTTCGCACCTTGATGTTCAAATTGGTAGGAATACTCGTCGGGAACTTTTCAAAGTCGCAGTTTGGTAGGATAAAACCTCGTTCTAGCATCATCGCTGCTTTGATCACCGACGCAATTCCACTGGCAGCTTCCAGGTGGCCAATGTTTGTCTTTACCGATCCTACCAGTAATGGATCGTCCGGTGTTCTTCCCTTGCCGAGTACATTGGCGAGGGCTTTTGCCTCGATCGGATCTCCCACTGGTTGATATCATTAGCCCACAGATCAAACCGGATATAATGAAGTAACGGCGGCAGGTTTTAGCCCCACAATACCTTTCGTTCCAGTTCCGTGAGCCTCCACAAAGCCTACCTCTTCCGGGTAAATGTTGGCCTCTCTATATACAGACCGTATAAGATCTTCCTGGGCTGATCCGTTGGGTAGGGTAATCCCATTGGTGCGGCCATCCTGATTTGTCCTTCACCATTGATTAGCACGATGTTGAATACATTAGAGGGTGTATGTCTCGGTGGCAGGAAGCGTCATACCCCGAATTTACGATCACCGCGCGAATGCGGTCATTCGACCGTAGGGCATCGGGCAGACGCTTAAGAATCAGACAACCAACACCTTCCCCACGTCCATAGCCTCCAGTACCCCGATGGTCGAACGCGTGGGACTTCCCCGTTTCTGAGAATAGCCTATTCACTATTAGCACTGCTGCAATCCACACCATTTAGAACGTACCTCTGTGATGACATTGTCGCGAAGCTGTCCGGACTGATGTTCAAATGGACTCCACCGACAACCGCAGCGGTCGACTCCCCAGCTCGTAGAGATTGGCAAGCCAGATGTAGGGCAACGAGACTGGACGAACATGCAGTGTCAATAGTGACACTGGGGCCTTTCAAATCGAAGTAATACGAGACCCGGTTAGACATCAGACCCTTACATGTGCCTGTAGCGAAGTACATAGGGACAGTTTCTGTATCCTTGTGGCCCAAAAGCTGATAGTCGGCTCCATAGCCGCCCATAAAAACACCGATATTGCCGCCCACGACTTCTGATTTCGAGATACCCGCATTTTCGAACGCTTCGTACGTTCCTTCTAACAAGAGCCGTTGTTGCGGGTCCATTGCCGTGGCTTCAGCTGCAGTCACGTTGAAGAAGGGCGCATCGAAGAGGGCGACGTTGTCGCTCAAGAAATGCCCTCCGCGTGCATTATGAGTTCCTTTCTTTCCGGCATTCGGGTGGTAGAACGCTTCGGGAGAGAAGCGCTCTGGTGGAATCTCAGACCAGCCACTGCGTGCCCGAGCGCACATGTTCCAGAATTCAACTGGGTTACTGACATCGCCGGGCATTCGACAAGACATACCCACGATGGCAATGCGCTCCCGCTCGGTGAAGTTCCCTTCATGGCTTTCTGGTGTGTATGTAGAACTTGCCTGGGATGAATGCCCCTGTGAATCCATCATGGTTGCTTGGATGAAGCCCGGTAAGGTCGCTCAAAGTATAGTTCTTAGGTCTAGTCTTGGGAAGCCGGGACAAATCCATCCAGCAGGAAAAGGGCCGCCCACTATATATGTATAAAAGTCACCGAAGATCAATAGACAAGGCAGGGCAAATAGCTTTATCGGTTCAATGGTGTCCTTTGATAATGATTGTCTTTGTGGTGGACTCAATTTCAAAAGGCCCTTCGATCCAAAGTATGCGAGCGATAAAAGAACCAAACGTAGCAATTTCATAGGGTAGATCTCATGATTTGTCCTTTTAACTTTTTGTTCTTTTCACACAGCAGAATGCATGATATCGCCTGGTGTGTTTTTCATGCATCGTGCAAACCAAACCTAAAGATGCATTGTGATCGGCGCCTCTCCCTTGGCCATCTTCCGGTCAGCCACTGCAAGGGGGATCTGCCGCTAGTTCGCTCTAGACATGCTGGAGTCGGGATTTTTGTCGGGGTTTCCCAATCGGGAAATACAGGTTTCAACCTCGGACATTCCTGATTAAGCACCAATAAGAGTCGTTGAATTACCCAATCGGCAACCAACACCTGAAGTAATTGCGATGGCCACCGATATAATTCGGTTATTCGTCTCTTCCTCATTGTCGCTAGCTCCTCTTGTGTAACTGGTATTGCGACGGTATTGCACAATGAGGTTCCTGTGCTTCCCCGGTGCAGGCTCTAATGCCCAGGCAAGTTGGCAGACATATGACAATTCTACACACGATGGCTCGAGCAGCATGGAATGTCCTGTACTAACAGCACTTGAATAGACATTCAAACCAATCCTAGGTAGTTATGATGTCTCAGTTCGCCCTTTGATGACGGAAAGGAAGGGGAAGAAAGGCGTTGTTTCTCACTTACCAATGAGTTCATACCAACAGCGCCATTCATGGCAGAAATGGAGACGGATAACTCTATGGACTTCACCTTCACACAAGGCGAGGTTCCCTGTCAGATCCCTGCCAAGTTCCTGGCCCACTATGGACCGGTATTCAAAACTCTTAACAAGCCCAATCCCGATCCGATTCCTCTATAATTCTATGCTAATGCTGCACTCACAAACGATATGTAGGAACCGCACCTGCAGTTCATCGCACGCAAAGGTGAGCTTGACCTCGCTATTTTTATCTTAACAGAACATTGTTTTGTGATTATATTGTCTAGTACTGACACAAACGGCCGGGGTTGTTGGGCAACAGAATACTTTCAGGATTTGACAGCACGGTTCGCGGCCGTTGAGCGTGCAATTGATAACGCCACTGCCGAAGAAAAGATGCGATTATCCCTCCAGAATCTGCAGCCATTAGATGGAAGTGTTGAGACGGCGTTGGATCGAGTATTCCGCTTCATTGACCAAGAAGGTCCCTTTGATGGAGTATTGGGACACTCTGAGGGAACTGCCATGGCGGCTACCGTCCTACTAGAGGAGAAAAGAAGGTTCCGTCAAACAGGTCGGCCTCCGCAATTGAGGTGTGGCATTTTCTTCAACGGATTCCCGCCTCTGATCCCAGGGCAAAATAAATACCTCCTGGCGGACGACGAGGAGGAAAGCGGGATGGCGTGTGAGGATCGGTGTATTAACGTGCCAACGCTTCATGTGCTGGGATCCCTCGACCCATGGGTCTATGGCTCGCTCGCTTTATATAACGTCTGCTGTCGCGAGAAGGCGAGTTTGTTTGATCATGGGGGCGGTCATAGTGTCCCCAGAGATGTTCGGACAATTAGAGAATTAGGGCAGGTCGTCCGTGAGATACTTGAGCCCTTGAGATAGACTAGAAGCTTTTCACTTTTGGGCTTTTTGATGTGAATGAAATGGGATCCTTGTCATATAGACCGTACCTAGACACCTAATATCCCACAACTAGTAACTTGTCTTCCTTCGTCATGAAAACAGCAGTACTGCCTCCTCCTGGTTGGATTACCATGCGGCATACAAGCCCTGCCAAGGTCTCAACCCGGTGTCTCTTTCCGATCAATGGAAGCGAGTAAAAGGCCACTTGCAGGGTGAGCATACTCTAACACGAGTCAACTTATGGAGTATGTGCTTTCCCACCCTGTATATCTGTCTCCGTGTCGCTCTCTCCGGTAATGATCGTTGCAAAGGCATACTTCGGATGGGATACGACCTGTGGCGTATTGGTCATGGTCGTTAATGTTGCATCTGGTGATGTTGCGCTTGGAGTGTCCTGTTGGATGCTTGGTGTCTCGTCAGCCACGACAATTGGCTTCATTGGTAATGATGTTGTGCCTAATTTCAGGCCAATAAGCCACCACACCAGTACTACCATACCAGAAATGACTCCCACGCCTTTTCCCGTAAATGGCGAATGTCTCTATGTCATAACAGTCGGCATGTTGAGGACCGGCAACTACCCAAGAGATATGAGCCTGTAACGAGGTCGGCTGGGATGAATGAACTCCTGGAGAGAGCATAACTGAACTATTAGCTAGACAGATGGCCGGGACACAAACGACGACTTCCCAATGTACTGCCATGACTGTCTTTGTTGACTTTAGGGTAGATTAGACAAAGAACGTTAATACTTCGTCCAAGAAACATTCTAGATATAATTAGCTTACAATTTCACTCCCTTTCAACCCATTATATCGTGACTATTTAAACCCTTCTTGGAGGGCTCGTAGAGTGTATTGGTGACAGCGGACTGTAGCCTTTTTATATGGTTTACTTTCCAGAGTACGAGCTCAGACAGCCCCTGTAACACGATAATCTTCCCCTCAAACAGATTATATGCTGTGACTAGAATGTGTGACAGGCATTTCCCAAGTTGATATCACTTCTATACAGTTGATTACACCCATACAGGCTGGGTCAAGCCGTCCTTAGTTATAAAATGCTTAACGATATATCCTAACTGACAATATTCCCATCACGTCGCTTGAACTTCAACATGATAGCTATGTATCCAAGACAATGCCTACTGCCTTTGCACTGCCAGCCCCATAGAGAGCATAAAACTCTCAAAGAGAAAGGTACGGATCCAGACTCCGAATAAGCTTGGTCTGAATATACATTCCACCAAGCTTCATGTGTTGGCACAAACTCTTTTGAATTGATGTCAGTGATGTTCTACCGCCACGCCCGTGTTTGTTGCTAACTTCTGCAGGTATAAGTTATCTTTCCTTTAGCTCAGATTCCAATCCCGTATGAGTCATATAAGGAAATCCATCACTCGCCCGAGAGACGCAGAAAAGGTGGGCCGTTGGGAATCAATTACCCGATCTGGCAACCGGATCCGAAGCATAAAATGATTTGAACATCCGGGAATTTGCAGCGTCCACCACCTTTATATATCTCACCTCGACTTCAACATGTCCTTCCACATCGCTGTCCTGGACACGGACGTCCCCGTTCCAGCCGTCTATACGCCCGCGGCCTATATTCGTCTCAATTTCGCGATCTCCTGCGATCCGCCGCCGCACGACTCTCTGAAGCTGGACATAAAATCACCATCTTCACCTCAGCGTACGATGTCGTAGGCGGAACCTTTCCTCCACTGGAGAGTCTACGCACCACCAAGCGCCCAGAAAACTGTAACAATGAAAATGAGACCTCAAACCCGCTAGCACAGCCAATCGACGGTATCCTCATCACCGGCGCAGCAGCAGGAGCCTACGATGCACCGACACACCCATGGATTACACCCCTGGAGTCATGGATCCAAACAGTATACACCCAATACCCGCATGTAAAATTCTTTGGTTCCTGCTTCGGCCACCAGATTATCGCACAGGCGCTGCTCTCCACATCGGCCCCGCAATGTGCGCCGGGCCCCGCAATGAAAGTTGAGCTTTGTCCGGATGGGCGCGAAACGGGCCTCGTTCCTATTGATTTGTCGCCGGAGTTTGTGGCTTCGTTCCCGGAGGCGGTGGATAAGCTCCCAGGTGCACAGAAGCAGATGCGGCTGCAGGAGATTCATGGGGACTGGGTTGTCCCTGTGGCGGGACCGACTGCGGCGTTGCCGGCCGGTTGGATCAATGTTGGGTCCACGGAGCTGTGTCCAGTGCAGGGATTGTACTGCCCTGAGAGGGTTTTGACATATCAGGGGCATTTTGAATTCGATGTCTTTGTCAATCGGGAGACGTGTCTGGCGTTTGGGAGGAGGTTAAAGTGGTCTGAGGAGGAAACTGCGCATTATGTGGGATTGATTGAGGGGAGAGGGGAGGATGATTCGAAAGTTGCGGCTGAGGTGGTTGCTACGTTCTTTTGTGGGTTGAATAAGTGAGTTGGATGGGGTGGGTGTCTTCTCTGCTTCAATATCTGTCATTGAGTATAGGCTGAGCTTGCAAAGGATTGGACCCTGGGGTATAATGTAAAGATTTAGGTTGGTACAATTCATCCAGAACCATAAGCAATGTAAATAGTCATTGACATGTACTTTATCAGCCCTGTGGGTCTCTTATAAAGATGGCGTTTGGTTACTAGTGGAGGTAGAACAGCGCCCTACCACGGATACGATGGCTAAGACTATAACCAATAAACCACCCGAAGCGGCTTTGCCAGCATAGAAGGTGAAGAGAAACTTGGGTCCTTCATGATGGAATCAATGGCTGCTAGCCGTTATAACCGATAAATCACACTATACAAAGTACTTGACGGGTGAACGTGCTCTTAACTGTTTTAATGTCCGCGAAAGTTCATATATGTGTCTCCATAGCTCAGGCTTTGAGAATGGATATACGTAACACCACATAATGAGCACTTGTGCCTATTCGTACCGGAGTTTCTACAATATTGTAGCTTTCCTGTTTCGGACGCCGCCGCTTTAGTGAGGGTACTCAGGGGGCCTGCTCGGTGAGCAGTCACCAGCCCTTTATTCGGTGCGTGGAGTTCGACGACCGTCTGATGAACGGCACTCAACTTTTGTCCGAGTCCGTACCAATACTCGTTATACAAGATGACGCAAGTAGAAAATGGATGGGGATTGATTCAACTCCCAGTGGCAAACTTCTAAAGTGAGCCAGCAGAATTGAGCAAGAAGATCGAGCAGAGATATATATTCGGTATGGGTGTCCTCATCAAGTGTTCATACATGAACACGTTGCACGCAGCCGTCATTTTCTGATCGAGAACCACCTAACACCTGCATCTAGACGACCTGTCGAATGGTGTCAAATTTATTCATCTATTGACTTTTGTTCCAGTGTCAAGGCACGAGATTGTTGTCGCGGGAGCCATTTAACTACATGGATGTGGTAAGAGACGAAGAGCAGAGCGGACTTAAGAGCGACCTTATCTCCGCGGGCTCTTGATTCATTTTCTCGCCGCCTTAATTAATCCCTCTTTGCTTTTCCTTTCTTTTCTTTTCCCTTCACGGACTGGAAAAAAATGGCTCCTTAATGATTGGTTGAATATACGACTCGGGGATTTACAATTTCGGGAAAAAGCAACCGTATCCCCTGGCACATTAGGTGCTTACCATGCAAGAGTTCAAGTCGAGCTGGATCCCATGTAGGGTTGTTCTCGCACAAGGTTAGCGCTGACCGCCATGAAAAGCGCAAGAAGGACCTTTTGCTGCCTGATTAGTAGTATTACTATGCTTTGAATTGGATGCGGGTCCTACCCGAGCCCCACCTGACATAACTAGTCCTAGTATACTACTACGTAGTACTATACTACGTAGCTTAAGTAGATGAATGGAGCTTCGCTATTAATCGTCGTGATATGTGATATAGGCTACGAATGTGGCGACACAAAGTGTAGCAATGCTGACCGACTCTTGTTCCTAATTCATCCATACGTACTTCCTCTTTCTACCGGTGGGAATCTGGGATTTTACTGCGACCTGGACCAGTTCCCTCGACCCGCTCCTTTCTTCCTATAATAGAAAGATACACATAGGTATTCATCATACCTGCAGATATCCCACTCTTAAGCATACTCTTCTCACTACTTGATCAATCAATTCAAGCATCTCAACCTGTCTCTTCTAAGACTCACCCTTGGAATGGGAGATCGTCTGAGCGGATACCGTGCAATACTGTTTTAGCGTGTTTTGACATCATGTCACTCCACCTTAGCTTCACTCCTAGTACTACTAGTACTAGTAGTGGTACTATAGTTGGAGGATCCTGGACAGCCCCGTGCGCCTTCTCGGGAATTTCCGAATTGAGGTAAGTTTGGTGGCCAAGACAACAACAGGATACATGAGCAGACCATGTTTGGTCGTCGTTTCACAGAAACCACAGTAACCACGGAATTTAGATGTACTTACCTCCGAGTGTTCTCAGTAAACTCCGATGTCAGAATATCTTGATATTAAGCGCACGCAGATGCATGTTTCATTGAACGCATTCTCCCCCTTCGCCCTTTCATAGCCTCCGCGATGAGACCTTCAACAGAAGAGAAGCAGCCAGAGCTCGAGAAGGTGCTATCCAGCGATATGACTTCTGCCAAGGAAGCCGACGAATCCACGATGACTGCCGACGAAAACATCACCTCTGACGAACAGGAGCTGGTTGACTGGAGGGGTGACGATGACCCGCAGAATCCCCAGAACTGGCCTCTAGCTAGAAAATGGTGGCTGGTTGGTTTGGTATCTGCGGTAACCTTTAACATGTGTGTGATGTTTTACTTCTGTTTGAGCTAAAATTCAACAATGGGGCGAAGCCTGACAGTTTCCAGCTCTATGGCGTCTACAGTGACCGCGCCCGCCGTGCCCTTAATCATGGCACAATTCCAACAAAGCAATGCAGAACTTGAGTCATTCGTGGTCTCCGTGTATATTCTGGGGTTTGCGTTTGGGCCATTAGTTGTGGCTCCGCTCAGCGAAATGTACGGGCGGTCTCTGATCCTGCACGTCACGAATGTCGTTTTCCTCGTCTTCAACATCGCCTGCGCCGTGAGCACCAATTTAGCCATGTTCACCGTTTTCCGATTCATTGTCGGGTTGATGGCATGTACACCTTTGACTCTCGGGGGCGGCTTCATTTACGATCTGATGCCACCGCAATACCGCGCGAGAGCTTTGACAATATGGACCATGGGCCCACTGCTGGTATGTTAATGAATTGCCACAAAACTTTCGTTGAAGGCAGAAGGCTGACACGACATGGCATGAATCTAGGGGCCTGTTTTGGGTATGATCGATGTTCTACGCATTTCCCCACGAGGCGTGATCTTACTGATAACGCTGCAGGTCCTGTCATCGGAGGATATCTTGCCGAGGGAGCTGGATGGCAATGGGTATTTTGGCTAGTCACCATACTGGTATGTTGTTTATGCTGGCCCTCCTCACCCAAATAATGGGAGCCTGGTTGAATAACTGGTGGATTAGTCGGGCGTCCTAACAATTGCATGCTCCGCATTCGTCCGAGAAACTTATGCACCTGTCCTGCTGATACGCAAAGCTGCGGCGCTGCGGAAGGAAACCGGAAACCGCAGGTTGCACTCGAAATACGACAGTCGAACAGGTGTTTTTGATACGTTCATACGTGCCATTGTCCGCCCAACGAAGATGCTCCTGTTCGCGCCTATTGTGACATTGATGGCGTTATACATTGCGATGAACTACGCTTACATGTATTTGCTCTTTACAACGTTCACATACGTTTTCATGTCCAACTACCACTTTACCGAAGGTGAGGCCGGCCTTGCCTACCTTGGAGTTGAGACTGGGTTTATTCTAGGGCTGCTGATTACCGGGTTCTATTCCGACCAATACCTCAAAAAGGTGCGAGGTAGCCGCCCTGCGGTGCCAGAGGATCACCTTCCCCCAATGGCCATCGGCGCCATTCTTGTTCCTGCGGGTCTGTTCCTTTATGGCTGGACAACACAGTATAAGGTCCATTGGGTTGTTCCCATCATCGGCACGGGTATCTTCGGATTTGGAATGTTGTTGGGCTTCATGCCCGTGCAGGTCTACCTTGTTGAGACCTATACCATATTCGCTGCAAGTGCCATTGCCAGTAACACCGTCGTTCGATCTTTGCTCGGCGCGGTTCTGCCCTTGGCATCTCAGAGATTGTATGACAATCTCGGATACGGCTGGGGCAACAGTCTCCTTGGGTTTATCGCGGCGGCGTTTATCCCAGCCCCCATCTTTTTGATCAAGTATGGGGCGGCGATCCGATCCAACCCGAAATTCCAGGTCAAGTTGTAGGACTCACCAGAGGGCAGATGTGTAATTTTCCTATTTGACAAACCTGGCGCTGACAGACTCTGTGTTGTGAGTGATACTTGGGCCAGCCTCACCCCTTACCAGGTCGTAATATATAACTAGGGAAATTCGAATATCACCAATAATTACCGTACAAGCCCGTGACTCCCTCCCCCCCATCATCACCTCTATGTTGCCATTCAAAATCCCTTTAACCATTCACTAGTGAAACCCTATGGGCGATAATACTAATCAAGCGAAAGCGCATCCAATTGTATGATACTACCTATTTGCTATAACCCTTTCCTAATACTGTATACTAGAGTCAGTCTATATTTTTCTTTCCTTACTTCTTCGGCATAGTCTTCTGGTACAACGCTGTAATTAAGGCCGTTTTCTATTTATGACGATTAGAACCTATATACCCAATTCTAGTTACCCAGTTTATATCCGGTACTTTAAATATAGAGAAAAGGAAATAAGAAAGCAAATCATTTAAATTAGTACAGATAGCACATAAGTTGCTTTACTATAAATATACCATTCCAGACATTAAAACAGCCCCTTAAAACTTGAGTGGCAAACGGGGAGGAGGTTAATGAAGTCAAGCTTCTCCGCCCGCAGCGATTACCCCGTTAGTTGCAAGGATCGAACCTAGTTTCCTGACAGGCCCCGCATCCACCAAAGAGGATCAGTTGGATCTGTGATGTGGTGTTTGTTATAGGAGGTACTACTAGTACTCCATCTGAACCACGTGGGTCCAATCCGATCCTTTTCGATCCACAGCCACACCTGCTGAGGGTGCAACCTCCGTGACCAAAACAATACAGCTGCCGCATCCACTACCAGATCTGTATTTGATGCGTGCTGTTTCCTAGTTGTATAACTAGGATATGTTATTGGTAGAACAGGGAAATACATGCGCACCTTTCCACCTGTCATCAACATGGTCTAGATGGAATGAGCGGGTACATTGTAGTAGGCCCTAACATGTCTTAAACTGTACTAACTCCTCGAGGTTGCATGCATGCATGCATTGGTGCTGACAGCGTGCAGTGGGTGACCCATAACTTGACTAGAAGTGGCTGATGCTCAGAGAACTATAAGCTGCTACTAGTTGCTAAATAAAATTATTACCATTTTGCGGAACCCCGGCGTGGTGATTTCCACCCAGCCGGTTAGAATGAGTTCCCGCGCTCCTGACACACGGCTTACTCGCCAGCAGTTTCGTTCTAATGACTGGGTGGGGTGATTGGCCATGTGGGGATACGCTTCAACAAACCAGTGGCCAGTCGCCCTGATCAAAAGGGCAAGGGTTGGAGACTAGGTTGGACATCATATGAGCCTGTCGATCGCGCGGATCCAAGGATGGAAGTTGTACTCCACATACAAGCCTTGTTCCCCATACGTAGTACGCCAAGCTTGCCAAAGGATCAATACAGCCAGCAGCAGTTTAACATATCACTCATAATTCCGCTAACTCCGCCAGCTCCGTTAGCCCCGTAAACTCCACACTGTGTTCAGTGTGTCCATTGTGGCACCGTCTAGTGTCAAGCACTACCGCTATGGCATTGACTTGGCATGTAGCAGCCACCTGTTACTACTCTCGTACGGGGCAGGCACTGCTATAGTACCTACGGAGGATAACTCGTTGGGAGCTCCGACTTATTTCGTCAATTGCCTATTGAGTTGGTTCGATATCATTAGCATACCACCCTTAGCCCTTGTCAGACTTGTCGAATTTGGTGATCAGTCCTGGAGCGTTAGCCAGCCGTGGAAAGGATGTAACAGATTCGGGATGCCTTTGATTGGCAAGGTCGAAAATGAGCAGATTAAGCCAGTTCCACAGCATGACCGCTGGGACTCTCTCCAGCACTTGCACCAAGTCGGGAGAGCTAGTATGGGATAAAACAGGCGCAGATAGAGCAGCGAATATCCCGAATGCAGTGTCTGGAATGACGAACGTGGCAAAGTCGCTGTCAGTAAAAAGCCATAGCGTTTCAGGCAGATTCAATAGGCTGAAAGGCTTTTCGAACTGCTATTTCCCTAATAAGAGTGGGACCTTAGGTACAAATATGGAATGTAAATCATAAGCTTACCACGCGGCAACTGGAAGAGACCGTCGCCTCTCCGTTCTGGCTGGCGCCTTTCTCTCCCGTGTTGTACATGCTGGGTAACTGAAGTTCCCTTGGATTGATGCTTATGTAAAGCTTTCGTTTGTACACGAAGCAAGGGAAGATGGGAAATGCCTAAATTATGTGTACATGGCTGTCACGTTGACAATATTAAATATATGACTATAATAATAGCTAGACTGGCGTTCCGAAGAAAGAACAAGGGATAACCTCCAGTAAGAGTCTCACAAATTAGAATGCCAGGTCGGAAATTACTCCATCTGGTCGTTCCCGTATCAGATAGCCAGTCTTCCATGATTCACGAGATTTCCATTTTTACCTGAACAATGGCAATGCCGGCCTTAACATCAGCGCCAAACTAGGAAATATCCGAGGCAAAGATAATAGCTAGCTCGAGACTTTTGGACAGGAACAGTAATTAACTCATGCTATGTCAACCAATAACCCTATCATGTTTGCTGGACCATACTCTTTATGTGCACTATGTAGGCGTTTTGCCTGCAGTTGTAACGTAATCGCACGTTGACGCTGAAACCAGCAAGATCAGAATTCCAAATTTGGACTTCTCCAGCTGCCCTGCAGTTAATCCATTTCTGAATTATCCCAGTAAGAGACGCATGTTACCTAATGTTATCAAGCTAGATTAACATTTAACTGAAATATAAAAGGTTGAGTTCAACAAAGACAGTACAGTGGAGTACAACCTATTCTCCTCCTGACGGACTGCTGTACTCCTTTCGCCATCTCTCGAAGGCTTCGGAATCGTTATGCGTCTATTTATCTTACGCAATGAATCATGGTTTTCATGGTTCCCTAGCTAGATTCAATTTGGCGTGTAGGCAACAGGCAGAGTTTGCTCACACACTCGTAGTCACAGCCCCTATAATGAAAATGGTCTAATTCCATATTTAAAAAGCTGCATAATAGTGACAAATCCACAGTCAAGATTCGTGGGCAACGCAGTTTCTTTGGTCACATCCATATCGTTTTGGAGCTTGTCGATCTTAGTTTTCAGCGCGGAGGCACAATCCTCGGCCAACAGTAATCAAAGGAAATCCTGTCCGTCGCTGACAGTGGTCAACATGGCCCTTGCAGCTTTCTCTGGATCTCCTCCCTTCACGGCTCCAAGAATATCTAGCAAGGTGCGCGTTTGGGGGACCATTTACTCAACAGCCGTACCACGATAAGCTTTATTAAAGCCACCAATATCCTGATGTTGTTTAGGTGTGGTGGTCCTTTTCGAAAATGGCGTCCGAAATAGTTCAGGCACCACAATGAGCACTCTGATGCCAAATGTTTTAAGCTCGAGGGAAAGCGGCTCGTGAGCCGCCTCTATAGCAAACTTGCTGGCTGAATACGCTGAACGGTCTGCTTTGGCGATGAATCTTCCAATGTAAAACATTAGGATCTAAAGGAAGCATTGACAAGCTTACCCGGCTCCGCTGCTGATGAGAACGATGTGGCTGGAGCCTTTCGCACACATATCGGGAAGTACTACGCGCAGAGTCCGAAGAGGGTCATAGTAACTAATCTCCATCTGGGAACGAACCTCTTCTTCGCTATGCACAAGAAATTCTATGAGCGCAATGGATCTGACGGGCGATATGACAGTCTACCTGGTGCCTTCAAGGCCTCCAGTAGACGCATAACCGGCATTGTTTACCAACACATCAATGCCTGTAAGCTCCCAAGCGCTTCGACAATCCCTCATGGGCGCAGCCTTGACCAGGATCCAGGGCTATCCACTTCCCTCCACGCTTGGTGACCCCAGACAAGTCTTGAGAACAATGAACTCCTAGTACTAGGTATGTCTGGCCCTGGCCCACCCCCACTTCTCACCCCTTACTCTGCGATCAGCTCAGGGCGCTCAGGGCGTGCTTAGGTCTACTCAGTGAGCGAAAAGCGGCGAGGGGTAAGCCAAGAGTGAGCACTAAAATGGAAAGGGAAAGCCTTCGAGCTGGGTAGAAAATCCGGTACATATGTAGTATGGAAGAAACACGCTGAACTTGGGGCCAACTACAACTTTTCAACTTCTTTTCAAATACACCTAACCAGACTTCTAGTTTTCATCCAAAGGTCATCCCGCCAGATAGGAGAACTAGCTTCAAGTTTCGCATGATTCAAAATTGGGCCAGCGACTAGTTGAAGACGTGATCGGAGCGAGAAGCACACAATCACAACCACCGCGAATCATTCTACACCAACCCGCTCTAATTGAACTCCAAAACAATAACCTTATGGTCTTATCCAGATAGCCAAGAAATCATATGCCAAACTTCTGGCCTCAAGAGACTAACGGAGGGTCGATCATGATCACCAATTTTCGGTATAATGCGCATCAGAAATGGCATCATCGGCGGGTATTTCGGACGAACGCATGTACGAATTGGAACTGCGTAACCCGCGGCTATATAAACTAGCATTTGGCCCGGTACAGTCTTGCTATATACCCTGTACTGCACACATCGTTCAATCATATCTAAGGCATAAAGCTTAAGACATCATGTCACAGTCCAACCCGACAGTGCTAACTCTTCAGAACCACCCTCCAGCAAATCCTACACCCCCTGCATCAGACCCCTCTACATACCAGGTCTACCATGACGCATTCGCAGCAGAGGGACAGCCAACGACAACGGTGGGATGGCTAGAGCGAGCGCGTAAAGTGTCCGACATTCTTGCGCTAGATGCATCGGCCAGAAGCAAAGAGCAGAAAACGCCCAAGGCTGAGATTTCCTTGCTGAAGAGCTCCGGTCTAACCAAGGTACTGGGCGACGTCAAGTATGGTGGTGGCGGCGAAAGCTGGGAGACAGGATACAAGGTCATTCGCGAGGTAGCTGCAGGAGATGGGTAAGTTTATAATGTGAGATGGGAGTGAGTGACTTGAAACATACTAATTGACTGCCTAGCTCAATTGGTATGCTTTTGGGATATCATCTACTTTGGTCAGTTACTGCACATATTGTGGGTACCAATGACCAAAAGGAGCGTTATGAGAAACTCATCATTGAGAACAACTACTTCATCGGAGGTACGATGCAATCGGGTGTTTAGGATGAAAACGACAGACTAACTCTCCCAAGGAGCTGTAAACCCTCGCGATAATGATAGCCGTGTTACTCGTGCTCCATCGGGCGACGGCCTTGTATTCAACGGATTCAAGAACTTCAACACCGGAGGTGTGGTCTCGGATCTCACTGTTCTGGAAGGCGTCTATGAGGACACAGAAGGCCACATATTCGCCTTTGTACCGACCAGCCAGCCGGGGATCGTCTTCTCACACAACTGGAACAATATTGGTCTGCGTCTCACAGAGTCGGGCTCAGTCAAGATTGAAAATGTTCCTATCGCTTGGGAGGATGCTTTGGGATGGTCAAAGGAAACAACAGCGCCCATACCGGAGGTCCTCCAGGTTCCCTTCACCGCGCTTCTGTTGCCTACAATCCAGCTCGTGTTTTCTAACTTCTATATCGGGATTGCACAAGGCGCTCTCCGCACGGCGAGGCAGTATACCCTCACTCAAACTCGTGCCTGGCCATTTGCCCATGATCCCAAGCCAAGCCCGACGGATGAGCACTACGTTCTTGCCCGCTACGGGAAGTACTTCGCTTCCTTGCGTGCCGCGGATACTCTAGCGGATCGTGCAGGTAAGGAGATTGCGGATGCTTTCAATGAGCATCGGTTGAAGAGGGATCTGTCCGCGCGTCGACGTGGTGAAGTGGCTGAATGGGTTGCTAGTGTGAAGGTTGTAGCGACTCATACATCGCTGGACGTTACTAGCGGCGTGTTCGAGGTCACTGGAGCGAGGTCGACCGCGGAGAAGTATGGATTTGATCGCTTTTGGAAGGATGTGCGGACTCATACATTGCATGATCCTGTGGCTTACAAGGAGTCGGAGCTGGGACGGTTTTGGCTGTTGGATGAGGTCCCGAATCCTACGTGGTACACCTAGGTGATGATAGACATAATATGGTTTAGCTATACCCGGAACTATTGGTAATAATGAAGCTGCACTTGACGTTTGTTATTCAAGATGGAGGAATGGTAATTACTGCCCATTTGTAAACGAAACGATTGCCCTGCTGCCTTGCAATCCAGGCAGACATTTGCGCTGCGGGGAAATGCATCTCCTCTTACTAAGCGGAATCTACTCACTTCCGAGAAATCCACCAGGTTTCGAAACAAAATCCAAGGCTTGTAGAAAGATGCGTTGGCGAAAAATGCTGGTATCCAAGTCGGATTCCATACAAAGAGGCTATCCGTGATCCAAAAGATGGGCTCTACCAAGAATCCCCCAACTTTCTCTTGCGATATTTGTCGAGAAACTTTCCGCCGCCAGGAACACCTCGACCGCCATCTCAGACGTCATTTGGGTGTGCGCCCTTTTACATGCTCCTTGTGCTCCAAGTCATTCTCCAGAAGGTATGTACTCCGGCATATAGAGAAAGGCATCTATCTTATTTGCACACAGAGACACATTGCAGCGGCATCTCAGCACGCATGACGATCAGCAGAACCAGACCCTACCGACATCGAGGACTAAAAGACCTCGAAGCAACCATGCTTGTCAAAACTGTGCACGTGAGAAACAGCGCTGCAGTGGGCATCCGCCTTGTATCCGTTGTACTAACAAGAGCCGCACCTGTGTATTTGAACATCACTCCCAGGGTGGCGGTGGTGCTCAAGAGAGATCATCCGCAGTACCTGTATCAAGTCAAGATGACATAGGACAAGCGGAAATGGGCTTTAGTGGAGACATAAGGAAGCTTAGACCCTCGCTGGGAGACTCCCAGCTGGTGGAATACGCTAGCGTTGAACCGCCGGCGGAGATAAGGCCCTGTCTCAATGCGTTGGGCGATGCGAACTATGTCATCGACTTGGGCAATTTGTTCACATGGGGCCCGTTCGACTGCCTTTATGACCCGCAATACAGTGCGTCTCTTAACAACGGCGCTGGGCTCAATGGCTTGGACACACTCTGTCAGCAAAGTCCCCTCCCATTTGAGCCTCCCCCGGCTTTGCAAACTTCTAGGCCGGACACACCTATTGAACCAGCTACCCTGCAGTCACTGTCTACTCCTGCAGAAGAAGCTCATCAATCTTCCGAATCTGTATCACATATAGTAAATGATCTCACAGCATCTAGCTGTGCATCTCCGCAAGGCGATCCGGATTCCCATTCTGACGATGATATACTGATCGCAGAAAACTTCTTTCATGTGAAGGCCGTGCGAAATGAAATGTATGAAAAGATCCAGAGCTTCTATCTTGCCCAGACGGACATGTGTTTCAAGAAGGTAGCCTTTCCGGACATCAACCGTCTCAACTGTCTTGTTCAGCTATATTTTGAATATTTCCATTCACAGATGCCATTCATACATTCAGTTATGTTTGAAAGCGACAGCTCATGGATTCTAGTGCTTGCTGTGGCGGTTATCGGAAGCCAATATACTAAAATGGCTAAGGGCAAACAATACATTATAGTTCTCTCCGAGCTCTTACGTCGTGCCATCCCTCTTGATGTACGCTCAATGTTTCAATGACACGCAATCTGGCCATGCTAACCGCCCCAGGCTGTTAAAGCACTGCAATACGATGCTATGACCCTGGCACAGTCTACTTTACTGCTCAATGTCAACCTTGTGTTCAATGGTTTCCGAGATGATATCATCAACTTGCAGTTTCTGCGCACCTGGCTTGCTACACTTATTCGCCCATTTCTTAACCCCAATAGTAAACGAGATTCTGTCTTGCTCCATGTCTCCCGAACTGTAAATATTTACGACCGATGGCATGCGTGGCTTCAAGTGGAAGCCCGCACCCGCCTGGTATATGCATTTTTCCGTGAGTTGATACCTTGCTCCTATACTCAATGATCGGATCCAAGGCTTACTAGTGGATCCAGTTCTCGACTCATTTTGTGTCGTATTTCTTGATATGCAACCAAGCTATTCGATGGATGATTTTGAGAACAGACTCCCTTCTTCAGACCAACTCTGGAGCAGCCAAGATGCCCACTCCTGGCAGTCGCATCTCCAATCTTCCCGGGGTAAGTTAAAATTCTATTCTTGGCTCTTTGAGTACTAACCTCCATTAGAGACACCCATAATCACCCTAAGACAGTTTCTGTCATCTAGCTGTAGCAGGAACTTTTCTCTTGGACAATTATCACGGTTCAACAGACTGACATTACTACTCGGTCTCTTTGTCGGAGAGAAGCAAGCTGCGAACATATCTCGATTTACTACTCGCTTTCTAGTACCTAGCGGTAATCCTTGTGCGCTACGGCACTCGCTTGAGACACCCAACTCATACCCAAGCCTTAATTCCAGATACCAACTTTTAGAACCGAACTTCACACCAACAACGTCAGCGTCCACTTTCCCTGACTGCTTCACTATCTGCTATCATTTAACATCGATTTTTAGATACACGTCTTTGCGGGATATACTTGCTTACACAGGGTGGCTTGTTACTACTGTGGAGAGTATCGCAGCCGGGAAGCGCATAGCTCAAATAATGGAGAAGGACACAGAAGGTGCACGTAAATGCGTAATACATGCCGGCGCAGTAATCAGGGAGATCCGTGGTGTCCTAGCTCCCGCCTGCTACCATGGTTTCAGTCTCCTATTTGCGTTTCTGTACCTATGGGTCTATGAGCGGTTCTATACCAGCACCACTACTAAACGGCCGTGTCCAGACCAGTCCTCGCCATATAAGCTGCTAAGGATCGACCGTGACCCCAAATCAACGCTGGAGAAACAGTGGATTGCTGGCGACCCCGACTGTCGACCTTACTTGACCGGTGTTGGACTCCTCTTGGAACCAGGAGCTTCCACACGCCTCCTTAAAGAATGTCAACGTATTCTCAAATCTTTTGATGCATGGCCGCATCTTCGAGCGGGATTTATTTTTTCGCTCAATGAGCTTGTTGACGAGGTGAATCCATTGACCGATGTCCCATATTCATGGGCCTCGTGAGAGCTTGTCGCTTGACTGTGAGAGCCATTACAAAGGCTTCAGACGTCCAAAATGGACACGCATATTGTAGCAATTTGCAGAAGGCCCAGGGAGTATCTGTATATAATATACAACCAAGTTATTCCGATAGAACGGGAGCGGTATGGACTTATATTGTTCGCCAGATGTGTGAATCACGAGACGGTTTAGGCAACTTGAATTCCCGTATATTTAGTTGACCTGCGCTGCCCTTTTATTCTTACATTATTCCATACTAGCAGTTTTGATATGACAAGGATGTTTGTTTATGCGGCAGCCACCCATTTAGTCCGTTGCGGAGCCGATAAACGATCCACTACCCGGTGGAGATATAACCAGCCGGAGCGGGGTGCACCTGCACTACAGCAGGCAGAAGCTCCTAGACATGTTTCTAAGCAGGCCTTCGGGTCAAGTCGAGACTTCAATGCGTGCACATCCCAGCTCGGTGATCGAGCGTCGGTGGGGATGCCCACGGCAAGTGCCAGGGGGGTCGAAGCTATAAGTACCCCGGCGAGGTACACACTTGAGAGCAAAACAGCTCTGTATCAAGCATAAATCGGATCAGAACCAGTGTCGAATACTGTACTCGTGGATCACCATGTCTAACATAGCCAATATCGCGGACAGCTTGGGCGTGCCCTTCCTGAAGACACAGGGTGCCAGCGTTCTGATAGTGCTCATCATTGGAATTGGAACCTTGCATATCATCCGAAACATTTACCGTCGCCATTTTCATCCGCTGTCCCAATTCGCAGGCCCACCCGAAGCAGCCTTGTCGACGAACTGGCTCTATAGGATTAACCAGACAGGCTTTCCGGAGCACGAATTTGAAAGACTACATGAGAAATACCGTACGGCCCTCCAGGGTAAATTAGCTCATTAACATTGTTCATCTTGCTGAAAATATACCCCCTCAAATCTCTAGGAACCAAGGCCCTTCGCATCGCCCCTAACGAGCTTCACCTCTCTGATGTTCATCAATACAAAGTCATCTATAGCCAATCCAAGCCCTTCCTCAAGAACCCCCCTTTCTATAGCTCTTTCAACATTGACCACTCACTGTTTGCTGAGACAGACCCGACACTGCACAAAGAGAGACGTAAAATGTTAAATCCTCTATTTTCTCGCTCGGGCGTATTCAAGCTCGAAGGTGTTATCCATACCAAGGCGGGAATCATGATGAAAAAGATTGACAGATTGAAGGAGAAGCACTTGATAAACGTTTATGACGCCTTCCGGTAATCTCTCTCCGGTTAAATGTCAAGTTGTTGAACGTGTGACTAATAACGTTAAGGTGCCTCACAACAGAGGTTATTATGGAGTTCGCCTTTGCGCGCTCTGCCAATATGCTCGAGGAGGAAGAATCGACATTTGACTCATGGTTCTTGAGGGCGTTTGATTCAGTCGCTAGCGACATGTGGACAACCCATGAATGGCCTGTACTGCGGAAGGTCGGATCACGTTTGCCAAAGAGTGTTATTAAGATAATGAACCAAAAGGTTGCCTCCTTTTTGGAAGTCATTAATGTGAGACATGCCATATCATCAGAGCTTTCATGTTGGTAGACACGTACTAACCCTATCTTATTAGTTCGCCGAGAGCTGCATGAATCACTATGAGAAACACGGCAATACCACCTCTCATCCAGTTGTCTTCGAGCATCTTACGTCAGTGTCCTACCCTCAGAAAATCACCGAAGCCATGGATATCCTGATTGCTGGAGCGGATACCACTGCATCTACCCTTACAGCAGCGCTGTTACATATTCTCGCGGATAAAAAGGTTCACAGTAAGTTGGTCGAGGCCGTACAATCGGTGCAGCCAAACGAACAGGGGATCCTGCCACTCCTGGAACTGGAAAAGATTGATTATTTGGTATGTCCCCCTGATCGCCACTAGTGTACCCTTCTGCCATGAAACACTATCCGTTACTGACAGAAGTGTTAGGCGGCTTGTGTGAAAGAATCCCTGAGGATCGGAATGCCCGTGCCTGGTCGGTTACCTCGCATTGTTCCCAGCAACCTGGCTCAGCCCTTCACTGTTGATGGAAAGATCATACCCGCAGGCGTACGTATCGATCCGATCGAGTTCGACTCAAACAGATGAACTAATGTGCCCAGACCGTCATCTCAATCTCCGCCTACACAATGCACTACAGCGAGGAGCTCTGGGGCCCGGACGCACGAACCTTCAATCCCGAGCGCTGGCTGCAGCCTGACTCCAAGAACTTGGACCAGTACCTCTGTACCTTCTCCAAGGGTGCTAGGATGTGCATTGGACAGAAGTAAGTTCCACCATATCTGCAATAGCTACACCTAACAAATAACACTTTGGCATTCTTGTGGTTGCAACTCGATACTGATAGTCCTTATTATTTTATAGCGTCGCATTCGCCGAAGTCACGATTGTGATGGCATATATATTCCGGAACTATAAGCTCAGCCTTCCGCCTGACTTTCAACGACCGAAACAGAAGGACCTTTTTACAATGGAGTATGGGAAGCCTGGTTTGCCGGTCAAGTTTGAAGCTGTAAACTAAGATCTATCGCTTGTTTTGGGTGATCATATGCTTTGTGCATATATTGTGCTGGGGTTAGATAGTTTGGGTCCTAGAAAGTGCAATATGACTCTTGTTGAATATGGATTATGTGTTTTGCATTCAATACTGCATTCTTTATAGAACAGCCTCCGATAAATATTTATATCATAGTCTCACAATAGGTTGCCTGACGGGATACATAATACTTCAGATTGTCCTAACCTAACCTTAGTTATGACTATAAATCCATCACCACCGTCCTTTAACCCCGCATGTAAGAGATACAGCCAGGGCTCTGTATTCCACAAGATCAAAAGAGCATATAATTCGGGATCGACGATCCTGAATGCCCTGGAGTCACCTATATAGTATACTGCGATTGCAACCGCCGTTACAGCGCACCAAATACTTCAGAAAACAACATCCTCCCTACCCCCAAAGATCAAATCCAAAGCCAGCACGAACAAGTATAATCACTAATACAGTCATCATAATAGGGCCAGGGATTCTCCCCTGAAACACAGTAGTAGACCTTGTTTCCGAAAGATCGACAGAGACCGGAAGTAAGCGAGTCGGCCCCGTCGGCCCCGCAATGCTACATTACCGGGATCGACATTGGATTCATAGCCGGGGATCTAGACTTCCGTGCCACTTGGAGTACGTACTTCTGTGGGCTATGTGTTTATGTCTCTTGGTGACTGGATGCGGCACGGAGGTATTGTGGTTGTGGTGGTGGTGGTTGTTTGGTATAGACTGGGCAATGGCTACGGTGGGCGAGGTTAGTAGGCTGAGTTGTAACTTGTTCCTAACCAGCCGGTTGATACTTGATTAAAGGGATCTACTGTTTTGTAGTTGATAGTTGAGATTTTGTTTATTTATTAATTAATACTTAATTGTCTAAGGATGTATTGCATATATTATTGTGAGATCTAAGTTTATACCTCTGTACGGCACTATTGTTGACTTAGTAATGGCCTTTCTGTAGGGAAGGATACGTAGCCGATTGATATTGTACTACACGACGGACATGTTCTGTAAAGTGTTTGTTCAACGGCTAACTACACCGGTACAGACCCTCGATCTTCTAAGAGGGCTCTCTCACTCAACCACTCATGATAGGGTTCAATAAATCATCCTGATATGTTTCATGATGATGACCTCGTTCGAGACTGTAACAAGTGAACGCCAGCCGAAAGTCTTTATACGTCCTTTTCCGTTGTTACCTCCTCATCGACGGGGTTTGAGAATGGCCGGTATCCCTCTTCGTTAATTTTGGCGAGAATCGACGGCGAAGTTTTCTTGCGAGACAGTCCGTATAGCTCCTGAAAGCTCATAATCAAGGGATGCCATTTGTCGGGGTCAATCCGGTTGGCATGCCCTGCCATGCGAATATTTTCATGGACGTGAGTTCGCAGAACCTGGACCTCCAAGGCGATGAATCCTTTCATCTCGGCGTCCTGCATCATTTCATACACCCTCTTCAATTCGGCCTCCATCTGAGCTGGGCACTCAGCAATACGGGCCGGTCGAATCAAATCGGAAGCCGCGGGCGTCAGGCCCACTTATCCGACACATACTTGTAACCGTTCATGCGCTTGAAGTACAAATATCCGTTCCCCTCGGTCGCAGTTGAAACCTCTTTTGACCCCGTTGTTCTTGCTAGAGCATTTACAGCTGCGGCCATGTTGTCGGAGGCGAGGTTGAGCACGCATTGCTTGGTTCGAATCAAGTTGATCGTGGTTTGTGATATGGCCCCTAGGCCCAGCATGCATCGATTGCCCAGCCACCATGCTGATGACATGGGCGCAATATTGGATGTTCCATCTTCGTTCTCCGTTGTGATCAATACCACCGGTGTCCCCCAGTAAAAGATGGGTGGGGAAATCGTCTCGGAGGGGGGGATCGACATTGATGCCATGGTGTCTGTGTATGTGAGATTTGAGATATCACTAATCCCGAACCCTGTGTCACTCCAGAGTGCTGGCGTGCTAGGCTTCCATATTTATATTTCACTCGGCTGTTCCTGTAGAGTGGTCACCGACCTCCCTTCGCTATTGTCACTTGCTCTCGAAGTAGCTAATGACCATCGCATATACCATGATATTTCCCTGGACCTTGCGAACCCGGCCTTCATTGCCCCTTGATTTAGTAGAAGTGACCAATCACCTGCTGTACTGCACTGCATATTCTTATTCAACGTATATACTGATTGGTTACTCACCGGCTGTTCTGGACCTCTGCAAAGGCCATACGTGGGTCTTCGGTGCGGGTGAGGCCACGAGTCATTGCTCCAGAAGTAGCCAATAGGCACTAATCTCTGCAGAAGCTGCTCAGCTACGTCAGTTGTGTTATCCTTTCTGCAGCCGCTAACCTGTCCAAGTTGCTATGGCTCACAAAACAACCAGAAATACTACGTGAGCAACAGGGTGGGCGAGACTGAGCGCACATAATATCCTACGTAGATAGCAGCTCTCTGATGCCATGCTTGTTGCCACTCAGACCAGCACTTCCATCCACATTTAACCCAGTACCGCACCCCGACACTATACCAAAATCACTTTCCCCCCCACGACTGCCTGAATCACAATATGCACCCCGCTGAAAGCATCTATCAGCTTGTGTTTGAAAGTGTTCACTACGCCGGTCTGAATTGCATCATCGACAAGAATAAGTTCCAGGCGGTGCAGACCCGTCAAACTTGCTAACCCTCTCTGCACCCATTCGGCTTCAGTATCGAGAAGCTGGGAACCACCTTCAAGTAATTGCCCTTCAACCGTCAGACTCAATTCCCGGAGCCCAGCGCCATGAGGCCCGACCGCAGCCGCCAGTATTGCGCAGATCTCAAGCCATTCCGAGTGGGACTGACCACCGCCATATCCGTGGACCAGAATGCTCTCCACGGCCCGTAAAGTCAGTCTTCGAATTGCGCACAGCTGCCATCGATGCAGACGCCGAAGAAAAATGCGACAGGCATGAACGCCAGTCCCACACCACTTGTGGAAGTCGAATCTGTGAAGTTGAAGACCCAGAACACGGGCTTCCGTGTAGATGTGGCGGCTCACGAGGAGAAGGTTTAGGGCTATCTGATGTCTGGGGGTGTAAAAGGCGTGCGGATTGCGACATGGACATGCCCCAAGTACGAGAACGTATACTTTTAAACGCAACTCGATTGGGAGGCGTAGCAACATTGTAAGTGATGGTTCGTATATAGCAGTGCAATAGAATAGATACGGGCTTGATATATAAAGCTAGCGCTTTGAGACAATTAGTTCGATGTATTTTAACAATATAGGATGTAGTCTCGTTGCTTTTAAATCCAAGTATCTTTCTACAGGTAGTGCCGGCCCAAATGTTGCTATTAAACTAGCCAATAATATACCGCCACAGGAGTTATACTCCACGGCCTACAGCGGACTAAATCGAGCTTACGGACAGAAATCTTAATATTTTATGTAAAGCCATAGCTATCATATATCTTCTAAAGATTTGGTGTTTTACCGTCCTAAACCTCACTACTCCTCCCGGGACTAGGGCTTTAGTATAGGGCCCCTAGAGGACTCGCTATCTCATTTATCTCTAGAATATACAGAGCACTAGAAGTTTTAGTCCTGAGAGTACTTTAGACATATAGTATCGGAGCCCTTAAAAATCCAGTACTGATATCTCTAACTGTCTGGTACTGGTGCCCCTAACGGTTAATTATCTAACACTGGCTAGCATCTCGAAAAATCTAGTACTGACACCTTCCTAAGATACTCTTAAAAACAGTCAATATCTCGGGACCGGACCAGTCGGTAATCCAGAATTCTAGAACTAATTGAGAATATATCATTGATTAGAATCTAGGGTGAGACCTAATAAATAGATATAATAGATCAATATAATAGTACGTAAGTATTGATAAAGTTGGTACTATCTGACATTGTCCGTTAGCTCGATTTAGTCCACCGTACTTGACAGACTACAGTGCCCATTTGCATGACGCTCGAGCTTCATTTAGCCAGCCTTGCTAGAGGTCCATGACAGCAGTTTCTACATACATATTTACGTGCAGTACTTGCGCCGCGGAAATGTGTGTCCTATTCGATTTCGACCCTACGAGGGCGGTTCAGCGCGAATATCGGCTTTCGGACTTCTCCCGAGCCAGGTGAGACAGTAGGACTTTTGCGATTTTCGGGGGTCTGATTTGTGGAGAATTGGTTAAATTAATCCCATAGAGAAATGTCATTGTCATACTAGTTACTCCGTAAGGATCGATCTGCAAGCATCTACATAGGTTAGGTAATAATTTTACAGAGCCTTCCTTTCTGCATGGCTCAAATCACCACCAGCCATTTCGGGGTTTTGCAAAAACAAGGACCGGGTGAAAGTTGCATACCTCTCGGCGGGTCCTGCGGTCCCGGGACGGATTCAACTAGTGTATTTTACCCAACGCTATGGAAATTTAAATGTCACCTTTACGGTTATCAGATCATCTGATAGGGTTAAGATGATCACGCACATGGCAGTCCGAGGGGAATAGAGGGGATACTACCGTGTAGAAGTATGCAGGACTGTGACGACGATGGATACTCTCGCGTAATACCTGGCAACCCTGCAGAGACAGGATTTTCACCGGACGGGAAGCCAGGTCGGGTTAGGGGACTGGAACGGACCCCAGGCCAACACTAAACAGGGATCACTCAAAGAGACAGACACCACGGTAGCTCTTCGCCGATTCCCCTTGGCTGTGGTCAATTGCACGTATCGAGATTGTGCTTGTCCAAGATGTCGGCATCTGAGGCTTCGAATGGCAATCAGCCAGGAGGCATCCCAGAAAAGAAAGGACGAGGACGAGCAGTGGTATGAACCATCTACCATCTCGCCAGGCCGTCACTGGCCATGACTGACAGAGTATAGATCGAACATGTCTCGAAGTCCGTCCCTAAGGGCAAGGATATCAAGACCTTGTTCACCTTCATCCGCCTGTTGTTCTCGCTGAACTACACTGCACTTGATATACTGCTCATGGTCGTGGGAACCTTTTTTGCCATTGCCGCAGGGGTTCCGGAGCCATTGCTTGGTATCGTGCTGGGTCAACTGATCAATGAGCTTAATACGGTCGCCTGTTCCGCAACGCAGTACAATCCCTCCTCCGTTCGAACAAAAGTCCTGTACCTAATCTACATTACAATCTTCAATTTTGTCAGCATCTACATTTACGCGGCATGCTGGGCACTCGTCAGCGAGCGGCTGGCTCGTCGCTATCGCAAGGCATACTTCCGAAGCCTGGTCCGCCAGGAGGCAGCATTTCACGACAGTTTGCCTTCTGGTCAGGTCATCTCCCGGCTGGTCAGTGATATTGAGACGGTACAGTCCGGAACGTCCGAGAAAGTAGGTATCTATATGGCGACCGTGTCGTACTTCGTTACGGCGTATATCGTGGCGTTTATAAAAGTCCCCGTCATCGCGGGCATCCTCATCGCCATCGTGCCATGTTTCTTTGCGATGGCTCTCGTTGGCGGCCACCTCACCTCGCGGTATGGGAGCCGCGTGGGCAAACACATCGACCTGGCCACCTCCATCGCATCGTCCAGTCTGTCCCATCTCAAGATTGTGCATGCCTTCAATGCGCACCAACGTCTGGAGGATCTCTTTTCCTCGCACCTGTCGAACTCACAGAAGGATGCGTTAAAAAAGGCGGCGGTGCATGCAGCCCAGATGGGCACCCTCTTCTTTGTGGTCTACTCATCTAATGCACTAGCCTACTGGAAAGGAGCACATTTGATAGCGGACTCAATCGACGGCCGCAACTCCGGTGTCTCCGTGGGCGCGGTTTATACCGTGATATTTATTCTCATCGATGGTAAGCTATCTACCGACTCGACAGAGTGTCTCCCACTTCTCAGTTACTAACTACCGCGAAACAGCGTCATTCATCCTGAGCCAGGTCTCCCCCTATATGCATGTCTTCAGTGCCGCAGCAAGTGCGTCCGAACGCCTGTTAAAAGTGATCAACCGCCCCTCCACTATCGACGGCACCTCCGATACGGGGGAGAAGAGTGCCGACCTTCGGGAGGAAGAGATCAAGTTCAACGATGTGCACTTTACATATCCGGCTCGGTCAGAGAATCCCGTCTTGCAGGGTGTTACTTTCTCGATTCCGCCTAGGCAGCACACTGCTATTGTTGGTCCATCCGGAGGCGGCAAATCCACTATCGTAGCCCTCTTGGAACGATTCTACGACCCGTCTGCAGGAAGTATCTGTATTGGCACTCAGGACATTCAGCACGTCAATGTGGCCAATCTCAGAGGGCAAATGGGTTTTGTCCAGCAAGAGTCGCAGCCCTTGGATCGCTCAATAGTCGAGAATATCGCATATGGCCTGGTCGGGTCAGTCGAGCATGAAGACCTGGCCGAGGTGATCCTGGATATGAGTCTCGCCGGCGTCGTGACTGAGATTCAATCAGGGTGCATGGAAGAGGAAGCCCTCAGGAACTGTGACCCCAGAATCTCCGAGATTTTCAGACGCGCGAAGGCGGCAGCGGACAAAGCCAATGCTCTTTCGTTCATCGAAACACTGCAATTCGGGATAGCAACTGGTGTGGGCACCGCGGGTGGCCAGCTCAGTGGTGGCCAACGGCAACGCATTGCCCTCGCCACAGCTCTTGTTCGTGAGCCCAAGCTGCTCATCCTGGATGAGGCAACCGCGGCACTCGATTCAATGAGCGAACAGTTGATTCAAGCCGCCCTGCTGAAGGTAGCTGGAACCACCACGATCGTCTCTATCGCGCACCGGTTAGCAGCCGTTAAGGATGCCGACCAGGTTGTGGTCATCGAGAAAGGCCGCGTGGTTGAACATGGCTCTCCCCAGCAACTACTGGATAGTGGTGGCATGTATGCAAAGATGATTGGGTTACAGAGAATCGACAATGCAGA